CTACTGCACAATATTGTTGTCGCCACACTTCTACTGTGTTGTCTATGATAGGGTTGACACCCATAGTAGGTCCCTACCTTTCACTCGGTACTCACCTTCACGAGCCATGCTACCAACAATAATAACATCAACTTGACTTACGACCCACATTAATGTTGCCCATTGTCAACGATCGTCGTCCACCAAACACCTTTGTTAAGTTTCGTCATCATGACCATTCCTTTATGTCACGATGTCTTGTCGTGACAATCATTTCCTACCAATGACCTCTCAATCTATATCCAGCCAAAACTAACATCACATAGCACAATGACACCCAGCCTCACACAATCATCGTGTGACCCTAGTTCACCCTCAATAGAGTCATTATATCACCACAAAGCCGCCCGCCAGCATCAAGAGAAACAATCACCTACAATAAGGCTGACAATTAATACAGGCCACCACTCTTAATAGTATAGTAGCTAACAATAGGCTATCGACGATATATCGTAGATCAAAATTAGATAATATTTTTTCGTAAATGAAGAATGTTAACAAATAGATTTAATCACACAAATAGATTTAAAAATTCTTTTATAATCTAAATTATTTTGACTTTTGTTATAAATTATAAGTATAATAATTTTAATTATGCTTTTGTTATAGAAAAAAATAATATCAGACTCGAAATACCTTTCGATATTATTCAATTTTTTTTATTTATAGATGCATCATTATCGAATTTAAAAATAATAATGATATTGAATTACAAAGAGAACTAGACTCGTCTTCTCCTTTATTTCTATCATTTACATAATAACTATAAGCAATAAAATAAAAAAATAATAAAGAGTATTGTATCATATAAAGTTCGATCTATCTATTTTTAGACAAGAATAGATGACTTAGGATAAGAAAGTAGGAGAGTCCCTCTCACTATCTTCTAAGAAATTTTATCATAGATTTTTTTATTGACTGATAATCATTATTAAAATTTAATTAATTAAATAATATATCTTATTTAATTTTATAATCTAATTATATTTTTAATGTCCATAAGGATAAATGAAAAAGAAGCAATCGGGGTAGGATAAATGAAAATGGCAACAAAATTCCCACCTTTCCGGTTGCTCTTCCACCATACGCACAGAAAAGAAGAGAATTGGAGAGGGAGAGAGCGCCATGGCCTCAATTCCCTGCAATTTCTATTTCCAAATCCCTTCTCCTTCTTCCTCTTCGGCAAAGCCGAGCTCTTCGTTTCTTTCCCTCACGAGGCGGCTCGGATGGGTCAAGCCCTCTAAGATGAGGTCCAAGGTGGGGCCGGAGACCAACGGCTCGCGAACTACCTGCTGGTTCCGATTCGGTAACCGGGGTGTCGATGCTGAGGGCGCCGGAATCTATGGAAGTCAGACGCGGGATGATTTCGATCGGGACGATGTTGAACAGGTCAGTCCTGCTTTTGATTCTTTAATTCTTGGCTTTGGAGGTTTATTTGGTAAACTTGTTATCTTATACCCTGAGCTAGGGTTCTAAAGTTGTGAGCTCTATGTGAAAGTGGAGATCTTTGTGTAGGTGTTTTTGATGCGTGAGGAGAGGGTTCAAGAATTGGAAATCGCAAGATGATGGTAGGGATGGAAAACATGACTTTGGGAAACTTTAACTGAAAGCAGAAACTTTGGTTAAGGTTTTTAACAAAAACAGAAACTTAAATCTAAAATTATTTTAAGAAAGAAAGATACTTAGGATCAAGTGAATCAAGAAAAGAAGAAATTTTGGGAGTTTTTAAAGAACTGTATTTTAAAGTCGGAGAAACATAAACAATAATGAGATATGGTGATGTATTTATCCTAATGCAAGTGGATTGAGTTGAATAGGTTTGATACCCTTGTGTGCATGAATGTGTCATAATGGCAAATCAACAATCCTGATTCATTTGGATGAATGAAGACATGTATGGGCAAATAAAAAAAAATCCAAGTCACAATAGTTAAGGATTCACTTTTATTTTCATTTTGGATACATTGGTTAAATCTTCAATCTTTTGGATATATTACTTACTGAAAAGCCATAAAAAGAATTAAATTAGAGAAAAAATTTTCTGCATCACTATTTTAAAATTGCTACTCTTAATCTAACCAATCTCGATTACTTCATTATAAATGCAAAGTTCAAATCTGCCTATGCAAGCAATGAATTGTGGGCTCATCAATATATTTGGTATCTTGTCTGATAGAAAATTTGCTGTGAAGCAAGAAAAATAGTTTTTGGGTCACTGACATACTTCTCCTGCAAGAAGTTGGATACTGTCTGTACAAAGCAAACTGTGAATTTACCACTGTTCATTTCACTTGCTTTCATGGCCTTTAGTTGTCAACCTCTTTGGTTTTAGTTCCACCCTTCTTCCTTGACCTGCACCTTCTGATTTGCATTTTGGATGTCAACTTAGCAGAAATATCTTACTCCCAATTTTTGTAGTGTGTATCACCTTGACCTCGACTCATTGGACAACATTTAATTAAATATACTTGTTAATGATTTTTAGTTATTCAAGTTTTTTTTGCCAAGGAATTTGGTCAAAAGGGGATTTATCTATATCATTTACAAGTGTCCTGTTTTGGTTTTTTTAACTTTTCATTGCTTAATGCACACCTGTTCGGTTATTATTTGATGAAAATCCTCATTTAGCTTGAAGCAGCCTGATTTTATTTTAAATTAACTTTGAAATTTCAAGGGATATAAGTTTAGCATGTTTCAATTCACCACCGTATATCAGTAAGAATAATTGATTGACTGCCATAACAAACATGACAATTGGTTTTTTGACCAAAAAATGCTTATAAGACAGAATATTAATACACGATCTGGAGTAAATCAATGTGTATGCATTTATATATATGGACACAGGTTGAATTTTCAGCTGGCATAGATCATATATGCTAATGCTACCAATTTCACACTGGTGAGGCCAAAATTTGGCCTAGCACATGGGTTTTGCGGATCATATTGGATTGAGCTGTAATCGCACCTAGTAGGATTGTTTGGGTTCTTGCAGGCTTTCTCAAATTTCTCTCCCAACTTTTGCATATCATTCATGTACCATTAATGATGAAAGGAAGAAAGCTATATTTAGTCAGGTATTACATTCTTTATTCGTGTGGACATGTCTAGTATTTATTGGTATAAGTGAATGTCTACCTGACTTTTGCAGTATTTCAATTATATGGGAATGCTTGCTGTGGAAGGTTCATATGATAAGATGGAGTCACTTCTAAGCCAAAACATTCATCCGGTGGATATCTTGTTGATGTTGGCTGCTTCTGAAGGTGACAAACCTAAAATTGAGGAACTGTTGAGGGCAGGTGCAAAGTATGATGTCAAAGATGCAGATGGAAGGACCGCATTGGATAGAGCAGTCAGCGAGGAGATCAAAGAGTTAATCTTGGGCTATCCTGTTAAGACGGCATGATCGAGGATCTGCTCAATCATAATTATGTAATTTTTCATTTTTTATTGTTGTTGGTCGGTGTTAGTCATGTCAAACATAACGGATCGGTATTTTCTACAGTCGATTACCAAGCAAGTAGTGGATGTTTTCCCGAAGATAATCTTTTTGCTTTTACTTTGACAAAATACTCTAAGCATCAGTTTGAGCACCAACTCAAAGGTGAAAGAATGCAGTTAAAGAGATTATTGGCCTAAAATGTGCAGATTTCAGATTACAATTTGCTGTGAAATGAACGTTGGAGATCATTATTGGCTTTGCCACAGAAACCCCTGGTAAGGAAGAAGGATGTATGGTTTCTCTGGAGTTTCTTTATTTGGTTGGAATCTCTCTTTTATCTTCCAATTCATCATACTCTGATCAATTGTTATATGTGATCACTGTTGCTTCAGTAATCAGTTGGCAAACTAAGCTAAAGCTTCATTCATCGACTTGCATGCTAAAATCATATCATGAAGTGCTCGGTTGTTGTTTCTTGTCATACGACCTGTTTGTGATATAGAAATCTAATCTGTTTGCAAACAGTGTCATCCAATCCTTCAATGGTTTACTTTCACTGCATGATAATGTGGACTTATGAGCCATCATCTTTTCTTTTGTTTGAGTCCTAAACACACTGCCAAAGTTTGAGTTCCTATCAATCTCCTAAAACTTGGATGAAGCTGAGTTTATGTTTCAGACTATTCTGCATGAGTTCTCCAAGAAACATGCAATCTTGAAGAGGGAAGAAAAATATCTGCTTTGAGCATACTTTTCTTAGCTAAGCTGATTACAAGTAGATTACTACTCTTAGTTAATGCTTGCCAATGAACAGTCAAATGGCTATACTATTAGATGATGGTAGGGCTTTACCATGTAGGTTTGTAGTAGTTGACTTTTATACAAGTCAAACAAATTGCAACTTACATATTTGATAATGCTTCATATGCAATACAAAGTTGTGTCCCAAACAATTCAAGTTAGATTTCATATTGTCCTAAATTACCCTCTTCTCTTGCAAGCAAAAAAATCAACTAATTCAAGCTAATGCACAACTTTTATCTTAAAAATACATAATGTGTGAAATTAAATGCCACTAAATCAACTATGGAGAGAAATCTAAAGAAGGATCTATATGATCAATGATGTTTGCATGCACACATTCCGTTCTATTTATTTATTTATTTATTTATTTATCTCTTCATTAATCGTATGCTTGTGATAACGACGACAAATTCTATACTGATCAATCAAATTGATTCTTTTTGAGTAATTTATCTAAAAATAGAGAGCATTACATATAACTAAAAAGATAACAAATTACATGAAAATAATAATTCAAAGAATTCACGACTTCACCTTACATTAAAAATTGTGAAGATGATGATTGTGATGATCATCCGGACATAGGAAACTACCGGAACCCAACCTTAATTCAAATGGGCTTGTGAAGCCTTCCAGCCCAATCCTTAAGATCGAGCCCAAAGCTCACCAGAGGCCATGGCTTCAGGGGTAAGATCGATATTTCGTTGCCATTGAACGTCTCAAAGCCCTAACCCCGTCCCTCATAAAAAGGGATCGAATCTGATCCGGCTTTTCTTCTTAGGCTTCGGAGGCGGCAACCACAACCCCAACGCTGAGCTGCAAATATGGTAATGCGATCGATCCTCTTCTTCTTCTGGATCTGAGAAATTGTGGATCCGTTCGCTCGATCCTTCTTTTTCTTGATCCAAAAACATTACATTTTTTCGATTTGTCGTGTCAAAAATCGGTTTTAATGTGATACGTGAGCGTGAGGTAGGGAGTCATTGGCGGCTTATGTTTGATTGTCGTTGGTTAGGCCAGAGGTTCTGGGTAAGAGAAAAAGTGCCTCTTTACGTCTTGTAGGAATTTTAATGAGGTATGCTTGGCTTATTGTTTCATATGTTTATAATCCTACCTCGTCCATGCGTTTTGACAAATATCCTCTTAGTTTTTAAGATCAAAATCGATTTTTTTTTTTTTGTAGTTGATGGATTGCTGTATTTTTTTTCTTAATTTTTTGGCTAATTATGTTCTAATAAGTTTTCTTTTTCTATTTTGTGAGTTTTCATTCTTCTGGACGTAGTCCATTTTTGTTGTTAGAGTATTAGGATCGGTCCCTGTTCAAGATAGGCGCTCAAAGATCTTGAGTGCTAAAACCCTCTATTTTTCATCATTTGTCTTGGACCTAATTTAGTCTTAGAGAGAACCAATCTGTCTGGGCACCCAAATTAATCGTAATCAAACTATTCAGCACTCTTATATTGTGTCATGTGCGATGGTGTCTTCTTTCTTTTGAATCTAAGCACGAACATGATTATTATTTCATCTCATGTCCCAACCTCTTTCGGGAAGCCCTGGTGTGCCAGGGTAGAGTAAAAATATGCAATTGAGAAAAGTTCCCTTGTTCTTTGTCCATGTTGCTTGTTTTCTGGAGCGTTTATATATCATTCCAGACAGCTTCATCCATGCCACAGAATCATAATCCTCACGAGAAACTCTTGAATTGGAATTGCATTGTGTCAACTTCTAGCTTAGTGATTAGCTACTAGAAAGCCATGTTCTTGCCTATGTTATGTAGCTAGAATTGATGCTGTTATCATTCAGCATGCCATTTTATGTTTGTGATAAAGCATAAAGGAATCATGCTCACTTAATTGTACTAGATGAAGCAATCTCAAGTTGTAAGTACTTCAATTGGATACAATATCAAGTTAGACTCTAAATTAAGCTTAAGTCAATTTTAGTATGTCAATGCTCATTCAGGGTGTTGAACTTCTTTTTAGGTGTGTGATATGTATGCTTTTGGTATTGGATTAAAAAACTTGGTGTCTTTGGATCTTGAACCTTGATTTAACGAACCCTGTTTGTATATGATGGTTAACGGTATTTGATTTGTGAAGAAAGGTCTTATGATATTGACACGACACTGTAATAATTATAAGATGTTTGTAGCTAAAATTTAAGACAATTATGTTACATAGTATTGCAATCTTGCCTTGCTAAAAGCTCTTTATTATAACATAGTATTCAAATATCAAAGTAGATGATCAATTTGAACTTCATGTGGATTTTAATTGTTTACATTAGCTTGCCGTATTAATAAAAAGGGTTGTCATTACCTTTATTTTAGCAAGCTCTTCCTCTCCTAGCTTTATTTGAATCTTTTTTTTTTCATTTTTCCTATTTATTGACAATGAACTTTACCATTAACTTTAACATACAGGTGAACGTTCCAAAGACAAAGAAAACTTACTGCAAGAACAAAGCATGCAAGAAGCATACACTTCACAAGGTTACACAATACAAAAAGGGAAAGGATAGCCTTTCTGTTCAAGGGAAGCGTCGTTATGATAGAAAACAGTCAGGTTATGGTGGACAGACAAAGCCTGTCTTCCACAAGAAGGTACATGTGTTTTGTGGCACATATAGGGAAAATAATTCTGTGGTTGCATAAATTGTCATCATTGACCAATTGCAATTTATTTGTTTGTGGATTTGCAACAAATACTTGCTTTTTGTGTTTAATTATCGAAATTAAGCAGTACACCATTATTAGATTTCTAAAGCATTGTTGATTACGTGTTAGTTACAATGCATTGTGAGATGACTTTGTCAGCTTTGTTCAGCACAGCTATCTGAAGGTTAGAGTAGGTGTACTAATTATAACATACTTCCAGGCTAAAACGACCAAGAAGATTGTGTTGAAGCTACAATGCCAGAGTTGCAAGCATTACTCGCAGCACCCAATAAAGGTTTCAACCATCATATTTTACTGCTGCTTTCCTGTTTAACATTTTTATCTATTTAACTCTATTTTCATTCCCTTTGCAGAGATGTAAGCACTTTGAGATTGGTGGAGACAAGAAGGGGAAGGGGACTTCTCTCTTCTAGTTTGTTTTTGTTGATGTTTCACCGCTCTAGGTTTTTTTGGGAAAGACTGATTGTAATTTGTTCTCTGCTGATTTTAGTTTAAATTCTAAATGACTGGAATGACAATGATGTTTAACTTTTGCATGTTTATTTAATTGATGCTATCTTTTTGCTGCCCATATTCTTTGTTGCTACACCAAATTAGTTCAGCAGACCAGTATGATCCGGATAATTCAGCATGAACCTGGAGACCGGTATCTGGTCAAACATTAAACAGATACTGGATATGTTTATTTTTCCTGATCTAAGTTGATAATTTAGAGACATGAAGTTGTGATTAATTTTCACAGTAGGACAGTGATTGTTGGAAATACATATAACATCAGATAATTATCTTAAATGCAATTATTACATGGTTAATACATGTAGACAAGCTACTAGTGCAACACATTGTCAATGTAATTTTCTTTTTGGATTTTGATGATCCAAGTTTTGAAGTCATAACAGTATATTGTGTCTTTAGGAGGTTTAACCAAATCATCAATCACTGGTAATGTTTCATCTTTATAGGGCTTAAATACAACATCACTCCTGGTAATATATGTTTTTGTGATGATTTTACTTATATATCATTGCATTTGCCTTCTCAATTTGGCAGACTTGACATTGTCAGTCGAGGTTTTTCCTGATAGTTGTTTTTAATTATTTAATTTTCAATCTCCTATTTAATTTCCTGTTTATACTGCTCATATGTGTGTGATCCTGGCCCTTAACAATGACAACTATTCTCAAGGCCAACCAGAATGTTTTAGTTTTTCTTGGAGCAAGTGAGCAAAGTTTTCTGCAAAAATTAGTAGTTTAAGAAACACACAATCCACGGTTCTGTCAACATTTATTATGGTAGTCTCTACACCTCCAGAAGTAGTGCTTTAGAACAATAGAAAAGTGAGATAAGAGACAACTACTAATCATGTGAGCTAATAAGGTGTATGATTGAGTAGGAATGTCCCAATGCTTATTAGATTAGGCATGGCAGTGTCAAAAGATTATATGTTAATAAGGAAACATGAAGGAGTTAATTTAGGTGCAATGTTCTGCTAGAGCAAGCCAAGAGTATCTTATCACAAACGACACCCGTTGCCAAAACCCTACCCAGTCTCTTTTCTTAATGGCTGCTGTTGAGACCAGCATCATTCTCTCAAGAGAGAGAAAGAAAGAAACCTGGAAATTTTGATGTTTCAGGTATATGACAAGGAGAAGGGTTATGAGACTTCATAACAAACCTATATTAGTAACCAGTGATAAAGATAACCAAAAATATTAATAATGATTTATTATTAATGGCAGTAAAAATATTTATATAGCAGTATCAACTGTTCTTGGGAGTAGTGATGAATGGAATAAGACAGGTGATGATGCCACACTTAAAGAATAGAAAGATCAGCGGACTGATGTGGAGGCGCTTACGTGGCACCAATAAAGCACTGAGATGACACGTGTGCGGCAACACATGGAAGAGGCTGTTGTGCACAGGAATGCTGTGAGCTAAAGGAACATGTGAGTGTGGGACTGACCGAGCTAGGGAGCAGCTGGATGAAGAAGAGGTAGGGAGGAGTTGAAAGCAGCACAAGGAGAGGTCCTTTTCAGAATAAATTGGGTGGAGTAGGACCATGGAGAGGCAGCAGCTGATTCAACAGCACACATGGTTGCACCGGCATTCAGTACAGTGGAACTCTGTCTACAGGTTCACGAGGATTTGTATGTAACCGCGACAGGGATCCAATAACAGCCCCCATGTGAGCAGTGCCACCAACTTCCCCGTTATCTCCTTCCTAAATCATCAACAACAGCTACAGCTCAATCAAACCCTAGCAGAAGCTGAAGACAAAACAAAAGAAGGAAATAAAGTTCATCGTTCGGAATCAGTATTATGTCTGAGGATGGGTGGTGGTGGTGAACAGAAGAGAAAGCATGACAAGCAGAAATGAGAGAGAGAGAGAGAGAGAGAGTTTGGGGAGTCGTGGAGCCAACGGAGCTCTTGAACGTAACTGTAAAAACGGTTCAACAACGGGCACAGGGAACGACCAAAGCTCGATTAGCAGGGAAGAAATGTTCATGGCCAACGGCAGCAGATAAGAGAAGGTAAAAGGAAGATAAAGAGAAGAGAGGATTTGGGGAGTGTTAGGTCGGGTTGTGATGTCAATCCATCACATTGTTCCTCCTCTTTGTTTTGTCTTGGAGTTCCTTGAGTTTTAACTTCCTTTCAACCCAGCGGTCTGCCCCACTCCAATGTAATGATGCACTTTCTCTCTTCTTCCTCTTCATTATTCTTCATCTGCTCCACTTCTCTCTCTCTCGCTCTCTCTTTTTCTTTGTTTATATATAGACCTCACGAGGCTCTTCTCCTCAAGATGGAGGAATCGATCAACTCGTCATCTGTGGACGGCGCGCCCGGCTCCAAGGTTGGCTCAGCTTCTTCCGAGGAGAGTGGCTGGACCATGTACTTGGAGGACTTCATGGCATCAGAGGAGAAGCAAGAAGCGGGTGGCTTCTACTCCAGCGCTGTCAATGGGCCTTCTGCGATCTCCGATGCTGCTTCGTGTGTTGCATGGACGCCGTTGAGTCTGAAGAAGAGGAAACGGAAGGGGCTACTAGAAGATGACTCCTTGGAAGATACTGCTATCTCACCTGCTAGTAGCTCCAAGGTTATCATCTTCTTATACCATTTGTTGAAGGAATTCTTTGGTTTCAGTGACATTATCTGAATTGTCTCGTTTGTATGCATTCCTTGGAACAGGTTACTGATTTAAATTACTTGACCATGAATCCAACCAAGAAAGATGATCACAGGGAAACACCTCAGGTGATTTAGCCAGCAGCTGCTTCCTTTTCCTTGTTATTTTTGTTCTACCTTTCCTGTCAAATTCGATTACATATCCCTTTGGGTATTCCAGGAGGGCGTTGTTGGCTCTAGGAGTAGCCAAGAACTAAATGGATTGAGTTCCACTGAGAGGAAGAATGAATGCACTGAGCAGAAGAAAAATGGGGTTTGTCTAGTCCCTTTGTCCATGTTAGTTCACTATCTAGGCTAGAGTTTTAGCTGTTGTAGTTCAAGAAGAATATGGTAGCTTACCATAGAGAGGAGTTCCTCTCTGTTCCTGTATTTGTGCAGATGCATAGATCATGTGTGTGGTTTTTATAAGGGAGCTTTTGGTGTTCACATCAAAAAAAATATATATTTGCTTGTGCAGTTTTTGTGATGACCAATATTTCTTAGGACTCACTATGTACATTGCATGATCATACCCTCCCTCATCACCTTCTACTCTTCATCTCAATCCTAGTAAAAGAATTCCTGTGTGCACTGTCTTCCAGTTTCAATCCAAAGCAGAGGGGGAACTTCCCAAGCTCATGCTGGAATCCCAGTCATCTTTTGAATCCAGATGACAGCAATACCATGCTCTCAGAACCTGACATTCTTCAAGACTTTTGTGACCAAGGAGTCAATGATTCCATGCAAGTGCTTCTGTGGTCTCTTCAAAATCATTTCTCTGAATCATTAACATAAGAGATTCCAGGATTTAACTATGGAAATGACTGCCACAAAAGTCTAATGGTAGGACTACACAAGTTGAGAACAATAGACGCTTGATTGGGGTGGTGGACTATCCACCTTGTTCACAAAGCCTCTATCCCAGTAGATGGACAGCTCTACTTTTTAGGTCTTGGCATCTACACAGGAAAAGGAGACAGTTTTCCAACCCAACCACATGCACCACTGGCTATACAATACATCAATGCTCACTATAACCTGTAGAGAGAGAGAGGGAGAGAGAGAGAGAGAGAGAGAGAGAGAGAGAGAGAGGGGGGGTAATAGCATGGCATACCCTCAAACAGTTTTGTGTATGAATGCTAGCTAGCATAAAGGAAGAAAGGGTGTTGAAGAATCAACATGCAGATAGATAGATAGATAGATAATAAGCGGGGCTTTCTGAGAGTACCGCAGCAGAATTTTTTTCCTCGTTCGAAGCTAAGCTACAGTGAGTATTTGGCGTGGTTCGTCTTCTACCCATCGTCTGTCCTTATGTCCATGAAACTTCTCATTCTTTAGGATGGCCAAACTTGTCAGAAGCTCAAGTGGCAGGGACAACCACGTGCACAAAGATCATGATACATCTCTTCTTCGTAATCTCTCGGAGCATTCCCACGTGGAATGCCGTCGACCGTACTGTGGTGCTTCCTTCTCCCATCCCTGGCTTTGCTTAGGGTGGGGACTTGCTCTGGGGTTGCACCCCCTTGAGTTGGGTAGGGACCCTTCTCTTTAAATCTCTTCTGAACTTAGATTACATGCTTTTAGTTTGCTTGATCATACATATACATGTGCATGTCTATGTAGTTTCTTATCTTCGGGACAAAGCTATCCCACTCAGCCACAACTACTGCATTTAAGATTCTGCTCCTTCAGATGATAGCTCGAGTTCTTGCTGGCGCAGGAAGGAGAGAGAGAGAGAAAGAGAGAGAGAGAGGGTGATCTATAAAAGGAAGACTGTGTGATAAGATGAAGTATGTGATAATGTAGTATGAGAACAACATACATAATGTAAAATTGTGAGGACAATGCGGAAATAGAAACAGATAACCAGGTGGAAGACAAGAAAGGGAGACAAGGAGTGGGATCATCCAATCATCTTGTCTAGAAATAATGATTGGCATATCTATGGCTCCAAAGTTGGATTCTTCCCCACTGTACAAACTTCTTTATTTGTAGTTTTTGTTACTCCCCAAGAATAGTTCCATTCTTGAATTCATTGTGTTTAAGATTGACAAGCTTTATATTATTTCAAAGAATAATTTAATGACAAAAATATGGTTACATTTTAAGTAGTTAAAATATTTAAAATCATCCTTAGGAAATCTAATTATCCTTTTTCTTTTCTCACAGTCATAAACTTAGTTTCAATGAGTTTTGTAAATTTAAGAATATCGAGTATCCTTTCTGATTATTCGAACCGATGGGAGTGAGTGATATCCACTATTATTAATTTGGCATTAAGTATTTTGAATCAATTGTTTGAAGGGTTAGAAGAATCCATTTTAACTCAATGATTCAAGATAAATAAGAAAAAAATAATTTTATTTATTTTGCATGAACAGTGTGCATAAAAACTTGTTTGACAACTTATTATACCTACCTAACCGGTAGGTAAAGTACTTAAGGTGTTGAGTCGGAATCTCGTTCTCTTGCCTATCATTAAAAAACGAAAAAACAAAAGCCTTAAGAGTAGTGTTCTAAGAGGGGCTTCGAGTGATCGATCTAAATGTGGAAGGAAGTTACATTTGATTAGTACAGGAATAAGATTCGCATGTACTACTCTTCTCTGGCAACCTGATTTCTGTGAAAATGATTCATAGATTAAATATGAGCCAATCGATTTCAGGGCATTACATCGAATTTGCATCAAAGAGGAAAAATCGATCAACTTTTCTTGTAAACGATGATTCCATAAGGTGTTTGTTTAGCTTTTTATTTTGTTTTTTTCTTCTTCTTCTTCTTCTTTTCCAATTCAAAACATAAGAAACCTTTTTCTGGGAGACCAAAAGACTGCATTCACCATCATATAAGCCTTCTTTTATGAGCCACTTGGGTTCCAAGGTAGACTAACCCGTGAAGCTTGGCAGAGATTCCATGCGTTCCTTCCTTGCTTCCTTCAGCACCCAAAAAGTGGAAGGAGATGACAACCATCGAGTCATAAGCTTTTTGCTCTCTCTCCATCAATATCCCTGTGCTTGTTAACTCGGCTACCCTCGTCGTGCTGCTCCCTGTAAGACATCCATCCGTAGCTCAGCTCAAATACATCAACATCCAACAGCTTTCCGGCGACCATGCCCATGTTTCACTCGCCCTGCCTCCCCACCCAAAGCCGGTCCAATCCCCACCACCGACCCCGGCTCACCGCCAGCCGGATTCGAGAAAGCCTGACGACCCGGTTCACCAAGTGCGTCTGCTCCCTTCTCCTCACCCTCCTCCTCATCGTCGGCATCGTCGTCTTCGTCCTCTGGCTCAACCTCCGTCCTCACCGACCCCATCTGCACATCGCCGAGTTCGCGGCCCCCGGCCTCGCCGACCCGGCCGGTCTGTCCGACTCGGTCATTTCATTCAACATCACGGACCGGAACCCGAACCAGAAGATCGGCATCTACTACGACGCCATGGTCGGCTCGGTCTACTACAGGGATCGGCTGGTGGGGTCCGGACAGGTGATGTTTCCGTTCTACCAACCGCCGAAGAACACGACGGCGATCACGGGGCAGATGGCGGGGGCGCGAATCGCCGCCGGGGGCACCTTGGCGGCTCAATTGGCGGGGGACGTGGCGAGGGGGCGGATCGCGCTGCGGTTCGAGCTCGGCTCGACCATCCGGTTCAAGGTGAAGGCGTGGGACACCCACCAACACCATTTGCATGTGGAGTGCGACGTGGTCGTGGGCTCCGACGGCGGTGCTCTGCCGGAGTCCAAGAACAAGAGGTGCCCCATCTACTTCATTTGAAACCTCGCCATCGTTTCTTCTTTCCATGCTTCATTTCTGGTTTGTATGAGCTCTCTCGTTCTGCGATGCTGTCAATTGATTCCTTGAGACGTGGGACATCGCATCCAGAATTGGCATTACACATCAATTTAATATTTCACATTTATGTAGCAGTGGATTCCCCGTCCATCAAATGCAAGAGTGAACAAGTGTCAGTATTAGATACGAACAAGAAATCCAACACCCCCTTCTCCGATTTGCTGCTCAATGTGTGTTAAATTTGAACCAGCTCTCGCAAGACATTTGCTACTTCATCCATCCCTGAGGTTATTTTCTTCGTATTCATCGGATTTAATTCCATCCGTACTATATGTAATTGCTAGGGATTTTTTTTAAAAAAAATCTCATGTTTTAATATTTTTTTTATTAGCACTCATTTATTTTCATTTATTTTCGTAGAGTGTTTTTTATTTTCTAAAAAATAATATTATCTTAACTTCCATCGTTGGTCGTCACTTACGTCTTGCTTTGCCCTCGTCCTCGCCTATGTGCTCCTTCACGGATCTTACATCATGATGGATGTTGGTTGTAGAATGATCAGTTTTAGCCTTAAGACTCTGGTCTGCTCTTGATTCCCACCATTGCCATGTCATCGTGCGATGCTCGACGAATTCATGCATAGCTAGATCGAACATGGTTCGACATGTAGCGAACCCTCAGAGCACTCCGCTTCATTAATCGAACGATGATAAGGGTGACGAAGTTGGTTGAGCTCTGGCACAACATGAAGGATCGCTGGTGAGGTCGATAACACGAGGGCTAATATGTGGTGAGACAACTGACACACGGGGGCACGTAGAGCCTCACAACGAAAGGAACGAGGGGCGAAGGTGATGATCGATGAAGCCCAGAGTAATTATTTCTTTTAGGAATTAAGGGACACTATATGATAATAAATAAAAAAGATATTAATCGAGAAAAAAAATAAAATATGCTTTTTAAGAATTTACCCTTGTTACTTTATAGAAAATAACATCATGAGTAGTTTTCTCTCTTTTGAAGATCATCATGTTTTAGTATGCCTTCCAAAACCACCAAATTAGGACTAAAACTTTTAAGGTCAAGGATCCATGTCCTCCAACATTCTAAGATGCACTCAATTGAAACTTGACAATCCAATGTTCATTCAAAAGCACTCCAAATTGACCTAACAAAAAAGCCATTCATGAAAAATTAATTTTTGTTTTCCACAGAGCTAACACACATGAATGAGGGGAGTAATGCAAAGGTCATTCCAATAATCATGTTGTAGAGATGCAAATGCATGTTGATCCCTCAAACATCTGTATGCTAATCTAGTGGCCGATTGCCCTTTCACATCAAATTTCCATGTCCATTTATCCTGATAAGGCTAGTAGTAGAGATGTCAAGGCATTGGCTGTCTTCTGCTTGCTGTTTTAGCAGCAAAAAATGTGATGCTGCCATTAGAGAACAGATAAAATCTTTCATAAATAACATGAAAATTAGGCAACATCATATCAGAAATGACATAATGATCATCGAAATAACATAAAATTCTTCAAACAACTAATGGTGGTGAAGGTGGAATATTGAAGAACCCTCCAACAATGTCCAAAAGATGGATCAAAGTTTCATTAGGGCTGTAACCTCTTGAACAAAACCACAAAGATGGTGGCCACAGCCAATGCTACCAAGGAAGCTTGAATTGCATGGTAATCGTTGTAGATAGCAGTGGTCGTCTTGGTGATTGCCGAGCTGAAACTCTCGGTTGAGGTCCCCAGAAAATTCTTGACGAGATGAAACAGACTGTTCATCATCTCAGACAGCTTCGTTTTGGTGTCTTGCAAGAGGTCCAGCAACCCAGTGCGTGAGTTTTCTGAAGATGTCTCCAAGGTCATCACCACAGGCACTTCCAAATCATCGACTCCAGGGTTTTTTGCTGCCGGAGTGGGTGAGGATTCCTTAATCAGTCAGTCAATTCGACAGCATGGAAAACATCAGATTCAAGTAGACATATGCTTTACTCTTCAGGTGAGTATCACAAAACTCTTTGAACTGCTTATTGTTCATCACAGCTTCCCAGACATTTTTGTCAGATGCAATTGCAGCAACTACTTCCTGTACAAGATAGCATGCTATTAAAGTCCGAAAACAGATGGTGTAGGAAAGGGATTACAAATGCAATTGTTTGGATGGCTGCAAAGTGAAGACATTTTACATTTTTTGCATGATAATCCACATGAATTAACATATAAACTTCCTCACAGAAGATCCAGAAAAGAAATCACACCAAGATTCTACTTCACACTTGTTTGCTTGCTCAAAAGACTTTTCACGCTTTGTTGCATGCATGTTGGGGTCGAAAAACACAAAGCAAAAAGTTGCAGTAGCGATGGAACCTGAGCGGCAGGCAGTTTCGGTAACAAGGAGAGAGCCTCGATTGCAGCACTGTTTCTGAGGTGAGCATCTCTTGGCCTCTTCCTAAGAGCCAGATCTTGGGTGTCAGATTCTTCACTGAACCTGGCAGAGGAGATTGATGTGTACGTGAAAGTAATGTCAGTTGATAACACTCACTGTTACAAGATTTACCATCTTTACACTGCGCATGTATGACTGCATAACGCTTGTGTATACATGAAAGGGTGGCATCAGTCAGTGATCAAGAAGATGAAGTATTTGTTGCTATATGCTGCTGTATTAATCTGATGCAAGAGAAGATAAACACGGAAACCGTGAAAACTATTACAAGCATGCAACGTGCTCATGTCTGGATAGCAGCTTTGAGATCCGACGTCGCGGCTATCGCTTCCTGGAAAGAGGGAGTTGCGTCGAACGCAAGCCACTCCTCCACCGCCTCCTCGTGGAGGGCAATCGAGAGGCCTTGTTTGTTCGCCGGAGAGACCACGGCGGCGATGTTGGACGGAACGCCACGGCGGTAATTGACGAGGGAGATGGCCTTGTTGTTGGCGGTTCTCAGCGCTCTGACGACTCCCATCTCCTCCAAAACTTGATTTCCAGTCCGGAGAGGGAGACGAACAGACGTCGTTATGCAGTATAAGAGGGTGATCATCTCCCGTACGTTACGATCCACCAATCTTGTCATCTAACGCCGTCCATTGTCATGTTGTTACCATCAAAGCCATTGATGCGGCACCAGCCAACCACTGTGGATTCTTGCAATCGCATCTCACATTGATGGATCATTGGGTTGTTATGGTGAGATGGATGAATTGTCGAGATATAGGCTGAGGTGTTAGTGATCCAGTCCCGATGCTCAGGTGGCGAGGGCGAGCGTAGAATCCTTGTAGCAAACTCTACAATCTTAACGGTGTTGATCTACAGTTTACCCTCTCTAAGGTACTTTCGTTTACTCTGTGAGACCTAGAATTCTCTTTTGAGAAGATCCATTCTGATGATATGCTAGAGCCAAGATTTATATTCTTGATGTTATACTGATCCTCTAATTATTCTAGAGAAGACATACTGTAAACTTGTTATCATTATTATTGATAGTGGAAGTTTGAGGTGGACTACGGTCCGTGATTTTTCCTTTTCACGTTAAAAAGATTTGATCTCACAGTGTGATTGGTTTTTTGCTCTATTGTTTATGCTGTGTTGGTTGATATTTACATTTGAATATCAAGTTGGTATTTTGACAAGAAACCCATTTTGATACGAGGGAAAAAAATATTTCGGTTTTCCCCAGCAATTTCTAATTCTTGGTTATCATGCATATTGTTGATTTATTCTACGTTGTTTTCACTCCGAGTCACACATGACGAGTTCTTCGATGGCTCAACAATGAACTTTTAATTCTGTTTCCTTGACCACCTTACCTCTTCTTGGATTGGTCAGAAGTGTGCATCAGTGGTTTGGTCAAAATTAATCGAGCTACAAAACTACTACATCATCATCATCATGATCAAAGCAAAGAGTTGAAATAGATAATACTATCAATCACCTTCAGAAAGCGAAAAGAAGAGTTGCATAAAACAATCTCAGGCTTCAACCACTAACCGGTGACTAATTATAATGGTGACTGAGTTGAAGCCCAAAGATATTGGGAGATTTTAGCTGGTTTTATTTGTTGTGTGATTGGTGATTGTTGCTCTCTGTGAACACTTGTTTGGAATTTAGGACAGTGCAAGGACCGAAGTTTTTGTTCTTTATGGGAGTCCACTTATGAGCATCGTCAACAGCTGATGGGGTGTTGAAAAGATCAATTACTTTGGGCAGCTGCAGCCACATCCCGTCGCTTTAGATTGATGGGTAGCAACTTGATGATGCCTTCAAGTTTCTTCAAGCTGCTGCAGGAGTCAGACCAGTTGCAGCGCAAAGTCTCCGGCAAGTGGGGGCATTAGGAAGAGGAAGAGGTCAGCTTGTAATCTACAGTGAATGTATTTTTAAGGTAGAAGTGATTGACGATTAGTGTTTTAATATAACTCCTACTTTGATCAAATCTTGAGAGAAAGGACCTGATCGTGTTCGTCTCAATTGGCACTGTTCTTGTAGAAATTTCTTGAAGGATATCAAACACCGATTGCCCTTTTCTCTCTCTCTCTCTCTCATTTTCTTTTCTTTTGGGAAGAAGAAGAAGAAGACATGGTTAGAATGATTGATCTAAAGATATGGGAATGGCTTCACATCAGAGCTGATGTAACACAACAAAGGTCCATTCATTCGAGATGCAGTCCTTGATAGGGACTGAATTGTTGATCTAAAGACGGTCGAACCTGGCGGCTCCAGCTGCAGTTCACCTTCCCTGCAACTAAATTAACATAAGAATGCATTCAACACGATGACACTGCTTTGCTTCAGTCCATGGTTGTATTTGAATCCGACTGCTACAGAAATCGCCGCGTCTCTGGACATGGCAGCTTAGCACCAATTTAGTCACTTCCAATCCACCTCTTCGTCCTCGAGAGATCATCACTAGTCCAACCATGGAAGAGGAGAAAGGCAGGCATCGCTGCTCTGTTTTCCTCGCGTTCATGATCCTGTCCACCATCACCCTTCGGTCGTCGCACGCAGCAGACACTCTTTCAGCAGGTCAATCCATCCGTGACGGCCAGACGCTGATCTCCGCCGCCCAGACGTTCGAGCTGGGATTCTTCAGCCCTCCCAACTCGAGCAATCGGTATCTGGGGATTTGGTACCAAAAGCTCTCACCTCGGACCATCATATGGGTCGGAAACAGGGAGAGGCCCATTCCGAATATATCTGGGTTCCTAACAATCGACGCACAGGGAACTCTGATGATCTTGGACAAGATTGGCACGTCTATCATGATAGCATCTAACACAGGCAGCACAAATCTCACGAGTGCTACGCTGTTAGATTCGGGTAACCTCGTTTTGAAGCAGTGGAACTCTAGCCAAGATGCGCAACCCCTGTGGCAGAGCTTCGATCATCCAACCGATACTTTTCTTCCTGGAATGAAGCTCGGGTTGGACGGCAAGAGAAACCGGCTGCTCACGTCTTGGAGGAGCTCCGATGATCCCGGGCCTGGCGACTTCTCCGCCGGGATCGACCCGAACGGTACAAAGCAGTTCTTCATGTGGTACAAGGGGGAGGTGCAATGGCAGAGCGGACTGTGGAACGGGACAAGTTTCGGACTAGTTAATCGGATGACATCAGGCCAGTACAACATCACCTACACCCCTCACTGGATCGATGGCTACTACTACTACACTTTTGGAGACAGCTCTTTGATCACGAGGGGAGTGATGGAGGTTTCAGGCCAGTTCAAGCAGTTCATATGGTTGGAGAGCGAAGAGGAATGGGTTGTGTTATGGGTGCAGCCGAAGGAGCTTCCTTGTGAAATCCGTGCAACTTGTGGAGCCAATGGGATCTGCAGCGGCAGCCACGATAACTCCACCACTTGCCGGTGCATGTATGGTTTCGTTCCCGCTTCTTATCAGCGATGGAGATCCAACGACTGGTCGGAGGGGTGCATGAGGCGGACGCCGACGACGGAGTGCGAGAGGGATGTATTCTTCGGGTTGACGAATGTGAAGCTCCCCATCTTCTCCTCAAGAGAAGGGGATTCCAGTGTGAGCCTGGAGGACTGCGAATCCAGCTGCGGCAGGGACTGTTCTTGCACTGCTTATGCTGCAGCCTATGCGAATGGAACTGGATGCCTGTTTTGGTCTGGGGGACTGCTGGGCCTCCAGGATGGCACTCAGGATCTCTATGTCCGTCTTGCAGCTTCAGATCTTTCACAGGATTCAGGTAAGAACAAATTCTCAGAGATACTCTTCGTTTTAAGTCACCGTAGTTACTCAGATATGGATAATTGACTGCAGAAAGTAAAAGCAGTAAGCCTTTGATCATATCGATCCCTCTGGCGGCTGCAGGCACAGTTCTTCTATTTGGTATCTCGATGTGTTACTACAGGAGGAGAAGAAAGGACAAAGGTAACGGTTATCTATTCAGAATACAAGACGTAACAAGTCCGATGTGTTTTGTGCTCTGCTCAACAGGTGAGAAGGAAACGAGTCAATTGCTATCGAGCAGATCTCCTCCTTCAGCTTCCTTCGTTTTGTCTTCTGATTCGATCAAGCCTGGAGAAAACAGCAAAGGCTCTGATTCTTCTTCGTTCAGCTTCAAATCCGTATCGGCGGCTACAGATCACTTCTCTGATTCAAACAAGCTAGGAGAGGGTGGATTTGGGCGAGTTTATAGGGTAACAGTTGCTGCTTATTTTTTTCCCTTAAACTGAACACTCTGTTCACTGTAGCTTCTAACATCTAATAGGTTTCAGCAATGCTGTGGTTTCCTTTGTTCTTAATAGCTTCTAGACATAGATTTTACTGTATCAAAATCTAGAGATCTTAGCAAAGAAAATTTCATAAGTAGAGTTTCTTCAGGATGATGATCGATAAGTAGTGAAATGGGTCATGGATGCAACAGGGTCTGCTGGAGGGGCAGCAGGTAGCAGTGAAGAGGCTGGCAAGAACCTCAGGACAGGGAATTGAGGAGTTCCAGAATGAGATAACCCTTATTGCTAATCTTCAACACAAGAATGTTGTTCGCCTTCTTGGTTACTGCATCGAGAAGGAAGAGAACATATTGATATATGAGTATATGCCCAACAAAAGCTTGGATTACTACATATTTGGTTAGTCAGGAATCTCATTTAGTGGCACTCTCTGGTGTCGTGCATTTAAATGCTCATGCTCATAACATTGTATGAACAGATCGAATAAGACGATCGGAACTAAGCTGGGCTAAGCGTGTTGTGATAATTGAAGGCATTGCTCAAGGTCTTCTGTATCTTCACAAGTTCTCCAGATTCAGAGTCATTCACAGGGATCTAAAGACCAGCAACATACTGTTGGATAGTGAAATGAACCCCAAGATATCCGATTTCGGGCTGGCCAGAATCTTTGAGCAGAATGAAGACCAAGCAAACACCAAAAGAGTGGTTGGTACTTAGTAAGTGAACCTATCAATCTCCTCTTTCTTCTTCTCTCTCTCTCTCTCTCTCTCTGAAAGCCAGCAAAAACTTCTTTGATCGGAACATAACTATTTGAATTCAGTGGTTATATGCCTCCCGAGTACGCAATGAATGGCATCTTCTCCACAAAATTCGATGTCTTTAGTTTCGGAGTAATAGTACTGGAGATCGTCAGTGGGAGGAGGACCGCTCGCTTTTTCGATTCAGAGAGCTCTTCGAATCTGCTTCGATACGTGAGTTGTCTTCTATGAACTTTGGCTCATGAATCTTACTGTTCTTCCTGACCTGCTGTTGCTACTCGACTCTGCAACTCTACAGAGTTGGGAGCTGTGGAGAGAAGGCAAGAGCTTGGATTTGCTGGATAGTTCACTGGACATTCCAGAGTCCGGAGAAGAGATCTCGAGGTGCATCAACATCGCGCTTCTGTGTGCTCAAGAGAACGCAGCAGATCGACCAACCATGTCAGCTGTGGTGTCGATGCTGACGAGCGGCGCTGCGTCTCTACCAGCTCCCAGGCCTCCTGCATTTTTCCTCGTCGCAGTATCCAAGAAACGCTTGTCTTCATCCCTGGAAGGGACTTCTACAGAAAACGATGCTACTGTCACAGCCCTAACAGGTCGATAGAGGTACTCGAAGCTGCATCCATCTATAATGGATTCAGAAGCTTTCTCTGTTGTGCAATGTTTCCAATAAGTGGTAAATGAGAACTTGATTCCGTTGCAGTAATTTTGTGCTACATCGGATGTATTGGTAGCTTTAACTCAAAGTACGATTGAAATTATTCTATCATATCAAATTTAGAACCTTGATTCTTCCCGAAATTTATGTTACGATGCATATAAGATTAAACCATCAATCATATTACTTTTTCTAATATTTATTACTAAAATGATATTAATCAAAATCAAGGACCTTACAGAATTTTAGATTTAAAATAAGGCATTGAAACTAATATCACATAAAGTGGACGTGCCGGAGTGGTTATCGGGCATGACTAGAAATCATGTGGGCTCTGCCCGCGCAGGTTCGAATCCTGCCGTCCACGAAACATTTTGTGTCTTTTTATTATTTTTCCGCGTCGCAATAATCACATCTGCGATAATGGAAATCCAAATCTAAGAGTCTAACAATTATATCTATTTAACTCATGATGTGAAATCCATCTGGGTAAGCTCAAAGGGTTGGCGCTGTCGCCCGTTGGAAAGCATGACTTACGTGTCCTTTGCTCCCCACCCCAGCCAGCATTGGCAACAGCGACATGCCAAGGAAACAAGGATGACCTTTTTGTGTGTGGTCGGTGGACTTCCACGGCGACGGTGGAAACGAAGGTCCTCCTTTTGTGCTCTGGGCGGCGGCTGGTGACGGAGCCTACGCGACGGTCAAACCACCGCGGTGAAGTGAAAGTTGTCGACGGCTTGACATCCCAAACAAAGGTCGGCTTTCTTCGGTTCCTTCACTATGACGCCCCCATCATGTGTTGCTGATGCCAATTCAATATTTAGACTATTTCTCATTTCGTTGGGAAAGCAATGGCGAATTCTCCTAACAAGGAGGAAGAAAAGAAATTATTAATAAATAAATAAATAACGTCGAAACGTGTCGCGGGCGTGATCTTTATCCGATGCCACGACCACCGTCATGGGGAAGAAATCTATGCCGTACAGGTAGAGGGCCACGCGTCGAGGATGGACGGCTTCGATCGAACACTCGTTTAAATCTGTATCTCTCACGTGGGACACGGAAATGACGTACTCTCTCGCTGCCTAATAATTGCTAGCAGCTCATCAATGATGAGACGGGACACGCGCACGGATCTTGAAGACGCGGCATGCAAGATGAGTACGTACGTATGGACACGTGAGTCACGTCCGCAGCGCATGCTTCGTTCTCTTATCGTTTACATTTCCTTGGTAGTCTAATCTGCCAGTTGGATGTGATCCGTGGTTTCTTCATGTTAATACACGACGAAGTGATGAGGTTAATGTGCCAATGCAGACAGGTGATTAATTCCTTTTGGTAATTAACCTTCTCAAGCAGTAAAGCACAGAGACAACAAGAAGAACACTCTTCCAGCATTCAACAACTAGCTATTTGTGATGTGCTGCGCATAATACCTCACTAGGTTTTTAGTGCTTATGCAACATATATTACCTTATAAATAGACCAACAGAAGTAAAACTTATACAGCATCATTATATATATATAATCCTAACTAAGTTCCAGCAGATATAGGTAGAAACTGTATCACACATTGTGTCAAATACACAGTAAAAGCATGAGAAAAATAAATCCTTTTCATGATAAGAGAAATAATAAGAAAATGGAAAAAAAAGGACTGAGAAAAGTCTTGTGCGTCATGCATTAGCATCTGGGTGCAGAACTTCGTGTCTCTTTCCGTATCTCAGCTGCTTTTGCTTTCTTCTGTCTCCCTCTCTCTCTCTCTCTCTGTCGCCCCTGTGAGTCTTTTGTGTTGTATCTTATTCTTCACATGCAATTGCTCACATCCAAGAGATCAGGGATTTGGTACTTCAACCGGTTGCTGCAGTAGCTCTCTCTCTCATCTTCGGTGCTGCTGTTCACGTGCGTCGACGATGAGTTCAGAGGAGTCGGGCTTGATGCAGGCGTCGAAAACACTGAAGTCAGGCTATATCCCTGGCTGCTTGTGCCGCACACATCGGAGATGTCGGCGATGAATTGGGTGAAGGATGGGTCCAAACTTTCGTAGTTAACACCCGTTGCAGGCACGAAATCATTCTGGGATAGGTTACCCTGCATAATGATGTCCTGCCATGGATTAAAATCAGCAGATGTATGTAACTGGCCCACATTGGGTTGCATGAGCTGTGCCTCATCAGGGAATGGATCATTCGAAGGGGTGCAAGTAGGTAGCCTTTGGGATAGATGCTGTAGCTGTTGTATCTGGAAGGAAGCCAACTGTTCTTGGAATTGGGGAGTCAGGTGTTGTTGCTCTGGGAGTCCTTGACCGAGGATGTTTGGGTTTTGGCATTGAGCAGATAGGAGGTTTTGGGCCATCATTAGGAGCTCGCTGTTCACCAGTGGCTCAAGACCTAATAACCCAGATAGATCGAACTGCGACGACGTTGGGTTGCACAAGGAGGAGGTCAGGAGAGCAGACAGGTCGAGGAGATCGAGGCGATGGGTGTGGGTCACAGGATCAATGCCCATCCTGAGAAGCCTCTTCCTGATGTGCGTATTCCAGTAGTTTTTGATCTCGTTGTCGGTTCTTCCTGGCAAGCGAGCAGCGATCGCAGACCACCTGGAAGCCACGGCAGAGTTGAAGCACATAAGCATGAATTAATTTTCCTTGTACTTGTTACCTAAAAGCAAGACACTTCGCTGTATAGCACTTACTTGTTCCCCAAAAGACTGTGTAGATGAATGATCGCCTCTTCCTCCTCAAATGAGAACCTTCCTCTTTTAATGTCCGGCCGCAGGTAGTTCGTCCACCGAAGCCGGCAACTCTTGCCACACCTTGCAAGGCCTGTCCGTACACCAAGGACATGAGCGGGTTTCACAAAGGCACTCATCGCTACGACTAACTCAACTCCATACCTGCTTTCTTGGGAAGAGTCCTCCAGCTCCCTTGCCCGTGCTTCTGGATGTAGTCGATGAGCTTCTGGTCCTCCTCAGGTGTCCATGGCCCTTTCTTCAGTCCATCCTTGTCACAACAAGGCGCTCTCCCCATATCGAAGACAAGAAGAGATCTAGTGCTGTTTCGGCTGGTCTCCTCGATTGATTTGCTTCAGGAAGCGTAGGATGGGCTAACTATGAAGGATTGAGGCAGAGTTCAATGTCTAGCTTAATCACAATGAATAGGAGATGAATCGTACTTGGGGTTATATAGAACGAAATAGCAACGAAAGGCTGAGAGGGAAGAGCCAAAAGTCAATTGGATTCGGTACCGTCCTTTGTTTATCTCCGTGGCGACGTGTCCTCTCTCTCTCTCTCTCTCTCTCTCTCTCTCTGGGGTTAAAAACCAGGCACGGTGTGGGAGGAGGGTGACAGCCATAAAGCGTCGGAGGGAGAGGGGGGACCCTTATCCCGTTCCCATTGGCGTTGGCTCATTCCAGGTGGTGACACGTAACTGGGTGATGCGACGGATGGTTGGGCCCCATGTTGTACTGCGGGCTTGTTTTCACCTTCACGGTGTTCTTGCTTGCTGCTGCTGTAAAGACTCGGCCTGCATGACAAATGTGATGATGTCTGCACTCGTATGATTCAGCCGATGTAAGACGAGACTATGAATTCGAGGCATATGCCCCTACAAATTATATATCGAGGAAAGTTTGTGTAGCGGAGACTTCGGGCTCTCGATGATTGCCACCTAAGCATTCACAACAATCACATCCTTCGGGCCCTTTCCAGGCCAAAGTCAACAATTCCGACGGTCAATGATAACAGATGGATGGTCTAGATTGCTTTGAATGTATCACGGCGGTTGCTGCTCAGGTGTCTGGTCTCCGGCAGGGTCCAGCTCTATCCCCTCACACGATGGACACATTTGTCAGCTGCAATCCAAATTTGTTTAGCCAATACATATATCAGCCTCTCAATCATAACGTATGGAAGCCATCCTGTGCTGTGGCTTGCCATCTAAGTAGGCCATACGACGACACAGTCCGCCATTGATGTCGGATTCGCCCTTTGACTGATCTTTTGTCCCACTTCAAGTCCCAAATGCTCAACATTTGATTGATTTCGATAGACTTTATCGTCTCGTTGTCTCTTGGACTGTACGCACTCAATTTCCCAATCCTGATGATCAAGTTTTCTCAGAAAACATATTTGATATCTTTGATCTGTGCATGGCATCCAACTTCAACGGAAAAAGAAAGAGTCATGAACCCTGCAACCACATTGAAATCGTGAAGAAGAAGAAGAAGAAGAAGAAAGGGAGTGCCGTAGTCGATGGTCGTCCTAAGACTTCCTCTGTGTTTCGGCCAATGGTTTGCCGCCTGCACAGTGGCTCGGAGGACGCTGCGGCAGACACCCGAGGACGTGTCCGCCTCTGAGGATTTCACTGTTCGTGACGTGGCTGCTTGTCTTTTCCCAACAACATCAACACCACTGTCGCATAATTGCTGGACGCATCCACCGTCACCAACGCCGCTAGCGTACCCTCTACGTTCATCACTATGGATAGGAAGTGTGTGTATGGGTGTGCATGGTAGTGTGATTCACCCTCAACCACATATAGGTGGTGAAGGGTTATTTTGGTGTCACGTCAATGAAATATCATTTACGAGCATATAGTCGTATTTTATAGTCCTAACTAAGAAATGCAAAGCCTAGGTTTGACAACCGATCGCTGGAAACAAAGAATCAACTGCAGAAGGAAGGGAAAGATAAGAAACTTGACAGTGGTGTATTGGCAATGCATGGTTGTGATCGACCTTGTATGACGACTGTGACAACAACTACTACATATAGTATTCGAGCGTAATAATTGCACGACAACAGTGAAGACTGTGAGATCACTCGCCCAGAATCTAATAGATTAATGCACCGTAATCGTCCAGGTGGTTGCCTCCCTGCCTCGCGCCATGGGAGCAGGCCATGTCTTAGATCAGCAAACCAAGGAAATTAAAGCTCATGCCTTGATCATTGTGCAAGCAGGTGGCGATTTCCTTTGTTATTAATTGGAATAAAGAAGTGGTATTGCTAGATTATCTAAAGCTTATTATGATTCGGAGATCTTACCGGTATCGTAGTCATGCCTGCAATATCATAACCCTTTAGATCGGTGTTAGCTGCACTGTCGGGGTGGACAGATCTTGCAATCGGAAGCGTAGAGAGAGTGAGCAAAGTGTGATGAGCAAAGTTGTTGTAGTGAGAGGATGAAAGAGAAGTTTGACTGTGCTTCGTGATGGCGGACTTGTTGAACTTCATCGTACGGAAGGGTAGACCTACGGATTAATGTAATGTACTTGAACAGTAGGGGATCACATAAAATAATTTAGGGTAGACATGCTACGACTCGTTTCTTCAGATAATGCCCGACTTACGTGTGGAAATTATAGCCTACAAACTTTGAATGGACGACGGCTAGCTAGCTTGCTAATGAAGGGACAATTCAGTCGCAAGGAGCCTGTGAGGACCGGTTATCTTTCATGTCTTTAGAACCTATGAGCAGAACAAGCTATTGCTTGATTGACTGAGCTTTTTGGGTTTCCCATAGTTGCTCATCATTCCAGTGTTTGCAAGTTCTCGGTGGCCAACCATCTCACCAGCTGATGCCTGACTACAGAAACTATGTAAAGTGCTCGAGTTTTAGGTGTCCTCAAGCTTGAAGGTCGTATCTGTCACTGACTTGGCTTCTGGAGAAGTAGGAGGCGAAGGTGAACCATCAGCTTGGCACCTTAAAGCAAAACATAATGACAAACCAAATTGAGTGAAAGAATCAAAACAAAGAACAGTAGGCCAACAATAACAAACACATGGGAGAGGAAGAGACTCTCTTAAAAGTCCCTTCCAAGCATGTGATTGGCTTTGATGCTTTGAGATCAGATGCCACCTCTCTCACAAATCTGCATACAGCATTTCCTGCACATCAGTGTGGTGCAGCTATCTTCTCCCCTAAGACGTTTATTTGGGTTCTCTTACTCGTAAGATCGAACAGAGATTTACAGATGCGATAGTTTGTAGAAATAAAATGATTACATTAATGGCATGACAAAAAAAGAAGAAGAATAAGACCTAAAAATATCTCAATATAAAGTATAAATAAAAATTTAAATATTTTTAACTCAATTAAATGTATAACTTTTCACAAATCTAAATGATGGTAAAAGATCATATAGTCAACTCTAGATAAATAAATAAATATATACATATATATGTAATATACATACATACATACATACATACATATATATACATATTTGTATCTAAATATGAGATACAAATTTCATTATTCTGCACAGACTTGACTAATTTGCTTATTGAATCTGCTATTCTTTTTTCTGGTTTACAATATTTCCGGTTGAATACTGAATGAAGATAGTAGCATCATTGTTGCACGTTGCACAAAGGAGTGGATAGGAGAAGCAAGAGATACTCCTGTAAATTAAACGAACAATACTAGATCTCAGGAAAGGATCATTTCCCAGTTGTATTTATAGAACAGGATATATTGTAGACTATGAAAGAATACAAAAGAATTCTGTCCAACACTGCACTGAGAGAGGTAACAAACAGTAACTATACACAATCACATGACAAGAGATCATCCTCTATACAAAAGCTTATCGTCTTCAATGAATGGATTGAAGATGGCTTACTTACAGTGTAGATCTACAAGTTTACTTGCACATTACTCAGTTCACGTGAAAAGAGCGATAGCAACACTAGAAAGCTGCACACCATTAAGTCTCGACCTCGCAACTCTTTGTTGATTCGGTGCGTGTGGAGCTTCCTCGTTGATGATGTCAAGATCACTATCTATCGTATTGCTCTGTTTCTTAAAGAGAGACTTCGAAATTGGAGTGCTGAAAACGAAATGCGACTCCCTTGCGATCAAAGTCTACACAGATTGTGACAGAAGCACGTAAGAACCACAGCAAAATTAGGACTACCATCAAATGTATATGACACAGTGACTTACTGCTCCATTTACAGTCTTGGAGACCAACAACAGTTGTTTCAGATCACTATGATCGACTTTAGACAGTGTCTTTACCTGCAAGGTTAGATTGAAATGTCAGAATTCTAATCTTCAATACGAAGTAAGAGGAAGAAACGAATTAAAAAGGAGAGTACCAAAATATCTAGAGGCAGAGCCTCTAAACGATTTAATGTCTGCGTTCTCCACCTTGTAACCCGCCTCTTAGATGGAGCACCACATGGAGAGGATAAATTGGCTGAATCCATAGTCTTAGATAACACAACTCTTTTTCTCCCCAATATGCTTGTGCGATGAACAAATTCTAAGCCGGCTGGCACAGATTGTTCATGCTGAACCTTTCCTACTGCCATATTTTACTGCCACCCACTCTGCAATTCCAAGAATGACAACGTGAGTCAGTGGCCAAGAGTCCCTGGCAGCAGAATCCAACACGAATTCGACAAAATCGTGCAATCGACACCTAAAGACAACAGTTGTATTACGGAAAGATGATTAGCCCTATCGATCTAAAGCAACGAGCAGGTAAATCAAAAGACACCCAAGCAAATCTCTCGTCAGACATACCTGCGAACAACTCCGAATCGTGACAATGTTGGCCTTCAGATCCTCTTGAAAACGAAGACTCCTCCGAAATGGATTCGGTCGGATGGATCGACTCCTTCACGGCTTCACCTGACCACCACCATCACCGTCTCTTATATAGAGGGAGGGAACGAAGAAGAGGTGGACTCCGCAGTTTGACCTAATTGCTTTCCATGGAGACTGCTGGAATAGTCGTCGAAGTTCCGAAGCGAGCAAAAATATCCGACAAAAAGAAAGAAATAAAATAATAAAAGCGAGCCGCTGGTCCACCGTGGATAGCGTCCAACGAACGCGTGACCGACTTCGACGTGGCGGAATCTGGGCGGTTGGCGGAGTAGCCGTTGGGGACGGTAGAGCCGATCGGTACGTCCATTAGATCATAGCCAAACAGGATTATTTACCCAAATCAGAGCCTTCCCTAAGCCAACAACACCCAGTATGCTATTGATCATAGAATCTAAATGACATATCCAACTTATGTTTAATGATAGAAAATACTTCATGAGTAAAAAGGCACCCAAAGAACAAATGTTGATAATAAGGATGAGCATCCAAAAAAACTGAGAAGTTAGTAAATGACTATATAATAGCTTCCAACATAAACAAATAGCACAAGGAACAATCAAAACTTTCCACAAGCTAGACAAAAAAAAAAAAGGCTATAAATGATCAATTGCATACTGGGAGGTTCAAAAGCCATATGTAGACTTGGTTGATGGTTGCCCTTTTGCCAAATCAACATTCAAAATCACATCAACCAGCAAAGAACTAAAACACTATGGTTGTTAGAAACATTTCACTTTTGATCAAAAAAATCAAATTAGAAATGATAGAAAATTTATTAATACAATCTATGTTAATAAATATAGTTTTAAAAGTAAGAGGCATATCAAAAATCTAATTATGATTAAGGATACTACTAGAAATTCGATCGACGAAACACTAAAACGTAACTCATGTATCATATGACAATAAGAGAATAATTAGTCTAGGGACATAATATCATATTTATCATACATAATATAATATTAAATAATTCTAGATATATTCATAAAATTGCTAGCTCTTTTAGCCTATAAAGTCATAATAGTGAAAGCTAGATTCAGGATACCTAAGTCACCCCTCTTTTTTGGAGTGGCAACAGTACCCAAGCCAAATCCATAAAAGCACCTTCCATTGGTCATCGACGATGATCATGAATACTCTTCGGCTTCAACTACATTGCCACAATCTTCATCCTCAACCACACCCATAGCCTTCCTTAGTGCCCTAAATTTAGCTTCATCCAATAGTAGAGTATCGTCCGGAATACCTATCTAGAATTCATCAGTCTCTCCAATAGTAGGAACCTTAGGTACTGTGATCAAGCTCTATATAATAAGACCCATCCTTTTCACCCGAGATTGAAACTAGAAGGCTAAAGAGAAAGAATTCTTAGTTACCATGTAACAAGGGGCACATGAAACAAAGGGTAGCAACTGTATCCTCTACATTAAATGGCAACTGTATCTTTTTCATTAAAGCCTTCCTTATCATATTAACTCAGGTCCTCGCCTCACTAATGGGATCCTCAATTGAGGCATCATTGACGAGAAAAGAGGCCTCAACATCCATGTGTTCATCACAACATGTTAGAGCTTAATAATTTTTTAGGATGCGCAACACGATCCGTTGGCACCATTTGCTTCTTTGAACCCCTCTCTCATTTCGATTGAGTTTGCCCACTAGTTATCTCTTTTCTATCTTAATCAAGGATCAAACAAGTCCTCATTAAGATGATCCCTCTCTTTCTATAGGGATACAGAGCTATCTAACTCCGAAGGGGGTTGCTCCATAGCACTCAAGGGAGGAGATGATGAACTCAATAAAATAGGGAGGGAAATCATAAAAGCATTCGAGGCTAGTAGATAGGAATCAACCTTATGACGTACACATCCATATTTAAAATATATCGTTAATAAATTTTAATAAGAAATTGCTTAAAAGATTCTGTCAATCAAGCGTCCTAACTAAATACTCTATTCAAGGGGTTTTGTTAAATCAATTTCGATATAAACTCTAATATACATCCCCTTTCAAAGGTGAAAGAAGATTTATTAATATAGAGATGATAACTCAGTAGGAAAGTCAACCATTGCTTGAAAGGAAGGATGACGAATTATATTTTAATTCGAGACTAAGGGAATAATCTTAGTGAGAGACTAGAATTTATCCCTCTAAGATATTAGATGAAGAACTTTCCTCTTTATCATCTATGGTCCCTTTATGAGCACATTAATAATCTCTTTTTCAAAAGAAAATCGAAATAAAAAAAATCTTTAATCATATCAATGACCATCGGTGGAGATGCACATTTCCACAAGTGTAAAACCATATATCGTAAAAATTTTAGAGTAGGAGAACATTAGAGAAATCACCAACCAAACTAGAAAACCAAGATTTTTTCTATTCGCAAAGAGTATCTTTATCAAACTCAATAAAATCTTTTGAAGAATCACAAATCTGATCTAATAATGAGGAAGATAAAAGAAAATTTGTATCTAGCTTAAAAGGATCAATTATAATTTTTGTCCATGAGAGACCATTATTTGAAGAAGAGCCATCAGATTGGTCTTTCTTTGAAGATAATAGGACATGAGATGCCCTTAGATTGGATGAAGGAACGAGCCCAGACGATAATATCACAACCAAAAGAGACACAAAAGAGTTTTTGACATACACATTCACCACCGTTAAAGGATCAGGCACAATGTCAATCTATGGAACAACACCATCTGAAAGAGGGGCCAATTGAGTGAAATAAGAAGTTACAGGATAGAAGACAATTGATTAGAGTTACGATGAGTAAAAAAGAATTAATAATAAAAGGAGAGAAATAATAATAATGTGGTTATAAGGTTTTTTTATCTCGGATTACAAATATTATTTTTTTATCCAATAAAACTTAATTTATGTATCTCTTTTTCGCAAGATAAATAAAATATCTATTAAAGCTTTTTTCCTACTCATTTTATTTTAAAAGATCTCTCCCTATCTCTAATACGTGGATAAAATAACGATAACATGCTTGACTGACCAATGTTAGTGAGCAATGTTGCATCCTCTCCTACAACACTTTTAGTTAGCACATCATGGATCTCCATGAGGTTCCTAAGAGCTTAATATTTTGTGACCAAATATTACAATGGTGTCCCATGATTAAAATATAACTAATTAGATCCTTAACAAATGATACCAAATGAATTGAGATGAATTAATTCTCCATGAAAATTATTCGGTAAGATTCTCAGTAAAATTGAGCATTGACACATGTCTTTGTACCCGAAGCCAATTTTTTTCCCCCTACGGACGATTTGATGATGGCCGTCTTTATCTGATCACCGTAAAGCCACCAACTAATCATTCTATTAGAGCTGACAGTCTCTTCAAAGGAGAGGCTTTCATTGACATTGCCATTCCTCTAACCCGACGAGATTATCTACGTTTCTTCACACATCAAACAGCAAAAGAAATGCATTGCTCGTGGTTTTCTTCGGCAGCAAGCTCGCTAGTCTTGTCAGTTATTAATGCTAGTCTGGTGATTGATACCTGTCGAAAGAAAGATCAAAAGAAATGTCTAAGCCTGCAATTAATGGGCACGGCTAATATTCCATAGCATTTGGTGTTCGATAACTTTAATGGAATGACCGATTTCCGAGAGAGAAAGAGAGAGAGAGAGAGAGAGAGCGATAATGGCTAAGGATGCTTCAGCTTTGGAACTGTGAATCCAACTCTGTGATTGTTCATAGCAGCAGTTCTCCCAAAAGCTTCCTAATAGTAACAAAAGCTATTCAACTACTTCGGAAAGGACTCTTATGACTGCCAATCCTCAACCATAGGACATATAACCACACTGCGTCATCTTTCTCTTGCCTGTCTCACCTTAATGGTCGATCGAGGAGAAGGGTTCCAAATCCAGAAGACAATCATCAAAAGGAGCTAAAGGAGCTAAATAACTGGATCAAAATATCCATCATACATGTATATGTATGTGTGCGTATACACACACACATCTTATCGTTTCCATGATCAGAACGCCACCAGCTAGCACGCGAGAATGCCGTTCCTGTTCCATGGATCTCTATACCTGTATCTGTATGTATGCATCTGTATGTGTCTATCGATTGTAAGACTTGAGGAGGGCGCCGCAGAAAGTGCAAATGATAGCCCGCCAGGTCTTACGATACACCGGCACGTAGCAGAAACGCGTGGTCGTCTCCATGTCCGCCACCCTCGCGCAGGCCCCACAGCGCGAGCAGATCCCCGCCGCCGGCTTGCTGCTCCTCGTCGTCCGCCGCTGGTCCACCAGAAAGCACATGAACACCAACTTCTTCTTCTCTCACAGGCGCGCACACATGTACACCTGATCTCCGCCCTCTGACCTGCTGCGTGCTTGTTAAGATGACTGATCGAACGTGACGAAGAAAAGAGGCATTAGAGAGAGAGAGAGAGAGAGAGAGAGAGAGGATGACCGGCTCGGATGGCAGGCGGTGACGAAGAAGAAGAAGAAGTCTGTAGGCAGGGCGGCAAGCAGATTCCAACACCGGTATTTAATGAAGGTTGGGGGCGAGAATACGTACAGCTTTCTAATTTATTGCGGATGGTTGGGGTGAGACGAACCAAAAGCCTGTTCAATAAAGGCTGCCCGTCTTCGTGTCGACCAAATGGAATCAGAGACTTCTTCTCCATCTCGCAATTCTGCCGCTACTCTTACCACGAGACACCCTCACTCTTCCGATCTCACCTTGTGCACGCACCGAGAGATAAAAACCAAGAAAGGGTTGCAATCCTCGGCACTATTTAGGCCATAGCTTTCATTAGTTATTGTGTTGAGGAGTTCTCCCCGTCGTCGGTCTCTGCTCCCCATCTACAAGATTTTCGATAAAAGGCGTTGCTGGCTTGATCGAACCAAAGAAGATAAGAAATCGACACTCTATATGGATTCATGCGCATCCGTATCTCTTTCGCATCCCCCATCTATACATATTATCTCTTATAATTAATTATTTTTAATATTTCGATCTTTATATTTTAAAAAATTATATTAGACATATTTATAAAAATAAAATATTTAATCTCGTTTCTTTTTACATCATCAATTATACTGATCGAAATATATCATATGCTTAATAGTAAATCGAAGTGAGACAAAGTTAATATGTGCTTAATGATAAATCTTACGATATTTTCGTTAGCAGAATCGATGGTGCGAGGAGAAACAAGATTAAATATTTAATGTTCGTATAGAAATCTTAAGATAATTTTTGAAGATATAGGGATCGAGATGCTAAATGTAACCAATTATAATTAGGCCGTGCATTATAAATGAAGTAAGGGCTATACTTACTTTTTGAAATATCATTTTTTTTATCTCTTTCACCTATAATTAATTAATTACGAGAATAATGGGGCTAATGTGATCAAAAACTAATATGAAAAGAACCACCAATTAGGTGGATTAAGGTTAATATTGATGGTTCTTGCAAGATGATAGTATTGGTTTCATTCTACGAGAGAATGTTCAGTAGAAACATTTTACAATGCGATGCCCATCTGAAATCACATTTAGCATCATTGGTCCATAATTAAACCAAAAAACTTGTAATATAGGTCATTCATATTAAATTATTTTGCAATGGGTTAATACTTTTAGGTAGTTCTGATCATGATTTCGGAACTATCAGTTTTTATTTTAGAATTATCAGTTTTGATTTTTCAAAATTTAAAACTGAATCGGAACCAAATCGTCGATTCGAATCATTGTCTTTTTTTATATATTTTTAATTTAAAAATATAAAAAATATATTTATAATTTATATTTTAAAAATAAATATATAACTATAATTTGTGTAATAACATAAAAAAAATATGATATAAAAAAAATAAATTATTAAATTTTTAATCAAATAAATAACCTAATTAAGATATTTCATCTAATATCCTATTAATTCCCAAAGTAAAATTGCACGTGACTCATCACGTGATCCATTGTCCCAACCGAGTGTTAAAACCCTTAAACCTTCCCATCTCCTTCGCCTCCGGCCGCACACTGCGCCCCTCCGGAGTCGTCGGAGACGCCATCTTTCCTACGTCCCAAATAGCAGAACTCCCACGCCCGAGCTAAAGCCCTAATCTTCTCTCTATGAAAGCCCTAATCCCTCGGTCCCTCTCCACCCAGACCTTCTTGCCGTCGCCCCTCTCCTCTCCTCGCTTCTCTGTCTTCTTCCTACACTCCGTCGCTGGCGATGGAGCGCCGTCGCGGAGGCCGCAATCCCATATCTTGCCCTCCTCGCCTGCCTCTTCCTCCCAGTCTTTTGCTTCTCCTTCCTCTTTCTCCTCCTCCTCCTCCTCTTCCTCCTTCTCGACGAGGCATTACGAGGAGGAATGCAAGAACGTGAAGGTCGCAGTGTTTTGGGACTTCGAGAACTGCAACATTCCCGTTGGCGTCAATGTTTTCCGGGTGGTGCACCGGATCACGTCGGCCTTGCGTTCGAACGGCATCAAAGGTCCGGTTACCATTACCGCCTTCGGAGACGTGTCGCAGCTCTCTCGGACCACTCAGGAGGCTCTCGCCTGCACCGGGGTCTGCCTCACTCATGTGCCACATGGTCGGTTCATTGTTTGTGCTCATATTTTAACATCCACGCTCAATTTCATGCAAATTCGATCCTGTTAATAGTCGAGATGTTATTTTAACATCCGCTCTCAATTTCATGCAACTTCGCTCTCAATTCCAGCGCTAAAATATTCAATCATTTAGATGATGAATTGTTCATCTAGAAAAATTATTTAAAATTCTTTACTTTCAAGTTTATTGGGCAGTTTCTTTGTATTCTTTTTGTTTCTTTATGTCACAAATGTTACTTTTTAAGCTGCTTACTTCCTTGAAATATGATTTTGTGAAAAAGGTATAAAAAGGTCACTGTTCATGCTCACGTTGTTAAAATAAGTCTTTCACTCTATTTGTGAAGAGTTTGCTGATTCTAAAGTGTAAGAATCATATGAAGTTGTTGTGAGTCTCTCTTCTTTATTTTTCTCTTCTGTTCCAGTTTAAGCGTTTGAATCATTTGGTCACCACAAAAGGTAGACCTTTAAGGCTTAGTATTCATAAGTAAAATGTTGGACAGGAGTATTTCCTTTGCTATTGCTAGTTTTAGTATCTTGCTAAGCAAGAAAATACCAGCAGATGATTCATTTCTCATCCCATTTTCTTATGTTTTTCTATAAATGTCTCTACCATTCATAAAAATCTGCAATTGTTGTGCATTGTAGGTGGTAAGAACAGCTCTGATAGATTCTTTATGGCTGATCTTGTCTATTGGGTTTCACAAAACCCTCCTCCTGTCCATTTCTTTTTAATATCTGGGGACAGGGACTTTGCAAACATCCTCCACCGGTTGAGGATGAGCAACTACAACGTACTGCTCTCCAGCAAGGATGGTGCACCTGGTGTTCTCTGTAGTGCTGCAACATTTATGTGGCCTTGGTCTAGTTTGGTAAAGGGAGAGACTACTATTGTCAAGCATTTTAACCACCCACCTGATGGATTATATGAATCTTGGTATGGCCATTACAAAGCTGTCCTGGATGACCCTTTCTCTGACATTGAACAGGCTACTAATTCACAATGTGAGGAATCTATGGAATTAATTTCTGAAACTAAGCCTCGCCCAGTTCCTAAGGCTTTAGTAAATGCGATCCGTCAGATTTTATACTCATATCCTGAAGGGTTGAATCTCCCAGAACTTCGAGCTGAGCTCAAAAGGATCAACGCAACTATGGACAAGGACTTCTTCGGGTATAAGAAGTTCTCACACCTTCTTGCCTCAATGCCAAATATACTGAAGATGATACCCAATCCATCTCTTGAAGGCCAATCACTTGTTGTCAGTACACATAGAAAAATAGCAGATTCAGTGCCATTGAGATTTAAGCCGGTTCAAGATGTGGATGTTAGTGATGGAGAGAAAAACGGTGCTTCGAGACAGAATGGAAAACCACTCCCAATTACTCCTCCAAGTAATGAGTCAGAGCCTGCATCTACTATATCTGAGACTATTGCCCATCAGAAAGAGAATGACTCAGATAGTGGTAAACAGAACTCCAGTCCCACTCAGGGACACCATGCTGTAGATGAGGGGAGCCTACTTGAAAGAATTAAGGGTTTTATTTTTGGACACCAGCACTGCAAAACAGAGCCTTTTTCTCCCAGTAAAGGGAATGACATGGAAGGCAGTGCCTATGCTTCCACCTCTGAGCATACAAACAATACTGCAGCCGAAAAAGGATTTGTGCAGAGGATTATAAAAACCTGGAGTTACCGTAGCAGTGGTCAGCGTGTTGGGGGAACTGATAGCATTTCTGGACTGGACTCCACTTCCCACGAGGATTCTGGTGAGGCAAAATCAATTTGCAAGCCCACTGAGAAGTTGAAATTTGAAGATAAAGCAACACGGTCGAAGCATAATTTTTCCAATCGGCCTAGTGCTAGTCCAAATTCAACAGAAGCAAGTGAGTCAATTTCAAAGGATAAGACCATCGAACAATCTGAAACATCCATTGGTTCTCCAGATATGAATCAAAGCTTCTTTAGCCAGATTGGAAGCTGGTGGATGTTCTGGAAATCTGGAAAGGACCAGAAAATTAGTTCTACACCTTATGAAGAGGTTACCAATTGCCAAGAAGATGTTGCATGTGGAAAGTCCAATAATGATCTGGGTAATATCATTGGTGAGACAGAACCTCATGATGTCTTTTCAAAAGGGCACTTTTGGGATGCTCTAGAATCATTTTTGCTGACTTCGAAGGGATCTGAGCTTATTCTAAAATCGAGAACAAGGTAAACCTCTGTCATCTCTACACAAGTGCAATCTTGGGTGGATATGATATTCAGATTTGTTACTGTTATTTTAAGATAGAATTTTTTTGCAAGTGCTGATATCATAAATTGAAAATGTGTCTTAACTAAAATGTTCTTTCCTGTGGGATGTGTAACTCTAATGTTGTTTGTCCATAGATACCAGATCTTTTCCTCTTCGAATCATGATCAGGTTTTCACATCCTGATTTACAATAATTTCATGTCTTAGTTAATCATGATAGGTGATGGGGATGGTTGATACTGGAGATTATTCTTCTAAGTTATCTAGTTTCATGGATATAAGCCAAGTGATTAAGTAAAGAATAAACATGCATATGATATATTCCTTATTTTGAAATCCATTTAAGACAATTTAAGCGCTAAAGAATTAAGAAAAAATCTGTAACAGTTCTCTATTAATGTATGTTGCTTTTTATATAAGCTTGTTGCTTTCTGTATAAGTTGTTGAATGGAAATGAAATGAGAAAAAAATAGTTCAAAAATATAAGATTGCTTATCATTTTTTCAACCATATTCTTGTCCGGCAACCCAAGTCTTCTATATTCAATAAATTGTCATATATACATATACATACTTGCTGCATATGCATATATAGGCACACTTCCCATGCTTATCTTATGTTCATCTTTTAGATCTACTTGAGCCCTTGAATTGTCATCCACAACCTGATCTGTTTCTACACCCACTTAGTTTACTTCGAGCTATTGACTTTACAAGACCAAAGTACAGTACTTATGTATGAACAACTTAACCTATTTGTTCATTGCATTACTACATTCAAACATAACAATTAAACCTCCATATCATGAAACTAAGCACCATGTTTTGTACTTGCATGCTTACCATGACCTAGGATGTTTCATATTCCAGATACCTATCTGTTGGCCTTTGGAGTTGTTATACAAAAACCACAATCTACTTGCATTATAGAATATGCATTCTGGGAATTACATCTTTGTTTGTGTTGGCCTTTTTCTAAATGTTGGCTTGGTTAACGTTGCTTGTTGATTTATGTTAAATTAATATTCCTTTTTCCTTTATAAAGTCATTTGTTTTTGTTGCTTATACCTATCTTTTATAAGTTCTGGATCATTGGATTGACCAGGCTTGACTTCAATTTGGTTGAACTAGTTAGGGATCATTAAACTCCAATATGGAAATCCTTGATATACTAGGGATTGTTGTATTGGACAAATTCATCTGATATAGTTGAATCCTTGTGGTCTAGCTAGTACTAGTAGTTGTTTTGGTCAATTATAGTTGTTAAAATCTGATATATTTTAACAAATTTTTTATTGTTAAACAACTTGATTTAGTGATTGATATTAGTCTATCCTGTCCAATCGTGATTTAGCATGTCATACAAATCAATGGCAAAACCGATCACCATATGATGCAAGATCATTTTAATTTGTTTTCTTATTTTAGTAAGCAGTGGGCATTTTGCTAATACCATAATTTTCCACTTGGCAACATATGTTATCAATTTAGTTTTATGGATTGCTCAAGGAGAAGAAATGATAAGAAAACGAAGGAAATGTTGGAGAAATAAGTCATTTCATCACTATAAGGAAGTTATGAAGGCAAAACTTATTGATCAGAATACCATAAAATTGAAAAGTTATCTTCTTTAAAGGAGGAAAGTGCAAGTAATTAATGTGCTTTGATGTAATTGAATTCTTCTTTTTGTTCCTGTGTACTTCTTTTTTTTCTTATACTTGGGGACTCTGAAAAAAAGTAAAAACAAAAGATTGTATTTAGAGATGAATGAATGAATTAATGAATGATTTTTTCTCATGTTATGACGTAATGTATGTGCAAGTGGTGTGAGGCCATATTTTAATTCTCAATGATGTGTGTGAGACTTTCATCCCTAGAAGTTTTTCCTTGAGCGACTATTGGTATATAATCAACTTTTTCTATTATCTTTCCCTATCATCATCCTTTCCTTCCTCTCTCTTACCCTTCCCCTAACCTGAAATAAAAAAAGGAAAAAAGTTACTCTATTTGTCATGAATTTGTCATATATCACCATACCTACAAAGCAAGGTTTGCAAAATTAGCCACATAATACGAGAAATATTAAACAAATATAAAATTACAATTATGTTAATTTTAATTTGTATGCATATAAATTTTTTTGTGTCGCTTCAATAGAGTATAAAATGAGCAAGAATTATTTAAAATGGTATAAATATGTGTTAAGGGATTTAAAAATATAATAGTAAAAAAAGGTAACAATAGTTATTATTAGGTGACAAAAAAATCTTTAATAGAACTATAAATAAAGGATGCATGCAGTTGACCCATAATGGTTGGGAATTTACATTGTTGTGGTGGGAGATGGTTTTGTTTGATATCATGCTTCATGATAATTTGTTATTAGTGGTGAAATAGTTAGAATAGATGAAACAATTATTATTAGTGGTACGAGCAGAGATAGAAAGAGACTTAAAAAGGTCTTTAATGTAAACTATAAATAAATGATTTATGTAGTTGACCTCAAATTGTTGGGACTTTATATTGTTGTGGTGGGCATGATTTGTCTTAGCGGTCCGTACCATTGTACCGATCAATCATTGATATGATACATATCGAATTATATTGACATCAATATGTGGTATAGTGGGACATATCGACAAATCGGTATGTATCGCTTGTATTGGTCCTCTATTGGACTGGTACATACTGCCTATACTGGGCATTACGTCACCGTATGGTGAACCTTGATGGTGGTAGATGCTTTTGTTTGATATCATACTTCATGATAATTTATTATTAGTGGTGAAATAGTTAGAAGAGGTGAAATAGTTATTATTAGTGGTACGAGTAGAGAGACTTAAAAAAGTCTTTAATAGAAACTATAGATAAATGATGCATGTAATCTACCCCAAATAGTTGGGACTTTACATTGTTGTGGTGAGAGATGCCTTTGTTTGATATTATAACTCATGATAATGAAACATCAGTTAACATATTAGGGAGAATGTCATGGTGACATATTTTAAGATTTGGAGCTTGCTAGTGTCATCGGGATGCTCTTTTAACTATCGTTACTTGGTTGAGAGGTTGATTTACGTGTCTCTATGCTAAGGTAACTTTAAGAATGATACACATTTAATAGTTGCGTTTAAATAGCTTGACAATGGTGGATATTAGATGGTAGGCTATTAGATGAAAAGAAGAGAGAAAGGTAGAGAGAATCTTGGACTCATTCCGAATCCTCCAAACTCACATTGAGGGGAAGATTGTGACTTGTTCCATTGACACGTCTTGTCCGAATAAAAAACTTTCACTCGTTTAATAAGTCACGATCCCGTTGCAATTCCTTTGCCCATTTTACATGCCTAAATATACAAAGATAATGAAATCAACAATAATTAAAACATGGTTATTCAAATATTTATATTCTTGCTTTTAGGGGAAGATAAGTTTTCAAATTCATTTGTGGCAAATAATTTTCCTTTTTGATGTTTGTCTTCCATTTTGGCACTTAGGGTGATTCCTTCCCCTTGTTATATTTATTTAATTTTGTCCTCTTATGCTTGATCTAGGAAATAAGGGTAGAAATGAGGGGATGTCATGATGTAACAACCTTATAAGTTTCCCATGTAAGTGCCTTGTAAGAACCTCTATCATATTAAAATTATTCTAAAGATAAAAAGGAAATTAGTTAGATTAAAATTGTACATGTTAGCAGAATGCCAACTTGACTTTACCATTGATCTAGAGGGCTTTAGGTTGACCCTTATTCTTTCCAAACTTGGTACAGATTGGAATGTGTCTCGATTTCCATCAATATAGTGATGGTGACTTAAATTTTGGTAGCAATAACTTCTATCATCATGATGATAAGGATGTAAATTATCAAATGATAATACATAATAAGAAAATCAAACCTCCGTTTAAACCTTAAATAGGTTAAAATTTGTATATAGAGATAGGTTTTGTGCAAAAATAACTTAGAGACATGCAAATGCTATCTAAGTTATTCCTTGACATCATATAGGCCTTCGTCAAGGAAGCCACTCAAGATACAACTGGACATCGAATCTAAAGTGTGCATGATTATGGAGCATGAGGATAAAGCACACTAGAATAAACAAAATAGAAATTGTTGGAAAGACAAAGTCATTGAGAAGTCAAAGGAATCAAAAGTTTTGATTGGGAGTTGAAGCAACTTTGAAGGATGAAAGTTGGTCGTTTTTAGAACCGAAAACAATAGGCTACGAAAGGCTCTGTCCATAGCCTTTCCCTTCTTGCTAATTGGAGGTAGATTGTGGAGTGTATCGCATGGCATGCCACAAGTGCTTTGTAATTGCGTAAGCTACATTGTAGGCTTGTGCCAAACATTGCGTGTATGGGGACAATACTTCATATTTCACGTCATGCAACATGCTTTGTGCTACGGGCATGATGGCGTGTTGGATGCACGAGATAAATGACACAATAGTGAAAAAGGTGACTTTTATATTTTCTTTAAAAGCTTTAACAATCCCATACAAAGCATAAAATTTTCTTCAAAAAATAAGCAACTATATCAAATAAATAAATAATCAATAATAAATAAATGCTATTGTTGGTGTATCTACTATGTGGTCAATGAGATAATCTTTTAAGGATTTAATCTCATTTATTAAAATATTTATTGGAGGAGTGAATCATCTTATAAATTTGTTTCTTTAATCTAGATTTTAATCAACTTAACATAGTATGATGTACATCTTTATGAGTTTGCACGATAAGGTCTATTTACGAGTGTTTATTTGTTTAGGAGAGATTTTAAAGATCATCCAAATCTTTGATTACAAGGATGGACCTTAGCCTACATGAGCTTTTTAGTGGTAGGAATTCAACTTCTCTGATAAGAGATCCATTGAAGGAGATTTAATGTCGTAATAGCAAATTGATTGGTTGGTTAAGGAATACATTGATTGACATCTATATATATCAAGTCTTATGTAGAGATATAGGAAAAACATAATTCTAAAAAGGAGAGATTCCTCCTGGGATGTGTCTTTTTATACACTTCATTTAGCTTTATACACATCGCGAGATAATTTTCTAGAATTTATAAGCAATATAATTAAGTTTTTTTTTAAAGTAAAAGCTTTAGATATCTTGGATCAATTATTCAACATGCTTGAGAGATTGATGAAGATATTATATATATAGTAAAAATAGAATAGCTAAAACGGCGAGAGGATTGGGGTCGTGTGTGATCATTAGATACCTTTGAGCTGAACATTTTATAAAATGATTTAAAAAGGCACTGTGCCCGAGCGCCTCCTTTAAGGGCTAGGCAATGCGTTTCAAAGAGGCGTCGCCTGGGTGCTCGCCTGTGACCAGGGGCCGAGCGCTTCGGTCGAGCGCCCGGTTCAATTAAGTGAACTGAACTAGACTTTTAAGTCTGGTTTGGTTAAATAATGTAGTTTCTTACCTCACAAGCCACCCTTCATGCCCCTGCGACCCCAAGGAACCCTGGCGTTGCTTTTGCCTCCGCCGTCGGTGCTTTCTGTCGTTGCCTCCGTCGCAGACGCTACGGACTAAGCCTTCCTCTGTTGCCGACGGATGAGTCTGACAGCCCTCGTAGCGGACTAAGCCTTCCTTTTGCTCTCGCTCTGTGTGTAATTCCTTCCACTATCGATGGAGTGGACCATAAGTTCTTTTGCCACTGACGAACGCCCTCTGGAGCTTCTGCTGTTGCCGCTGCCGCTACTACTGTTGTCCGTAGCTTCCGCCATTGATGTTGTTGTTGTCTGTAGCTTTTGCCGCTGTTACTATTGTTGTTCGTAGCTTCCATCGTTGTCGTTGCTGCTGCTACTGTCCGCAGCTTCTGCCGTTGCTGCTACTGTTGTTCGTAGCTTTCACTGTTGTCGTTCGCAGCGCTGCCGCAACAATCTTAAACTAATCTTCTGTTATTATTACCATTTTTTCTTCCCTCTAACTATTGGTAACAGTAAGTAATATACTATTAACAATATATTTTTAATTTAATATCATATTTGTATTTAAATAATTATATATATATTTTTTATTATATTATATATTTATTAATATTTTAATATTTTAGAGTGTCTCGCTTCGCTTGGTCGAGCGCCTAGTGCCTTAGGCGTTTTGGGATCTTAACGCCTAGCACTTTTTAAATCATTAATTTTATATGATAATAGATAGATAATAATGCTTTATAGATATGAGTATTGAACAACTAAGAAATAACATATACAAAAATGATTGTATTGCTAAGATGTGAATATTGAGTTGGACGTGTGGAGTTGTTAGGAAAGATAGTGAATAAGTATTCTTATTGCGAACAATTAGGTATTTATTACTTCGATAAAGGATAAAGTAAGAGAATTGTTTAAGATGATATAAACATATATTCAGAAGATTTACAAATGTGGTAGTTAGAAGAGGTGAACTGATTATTGTTAGTGGTATGATAAAAGTTAGAGGAAGACATAAAAGGATTTTAATTAAAACTATAAATAAAGATTTAAATACTCTTTAACTTAATTAAACATATGGTTTTTGATAGTTCTCAATGGCATGACAAAAGATCGATGTAGCTGATCCCAAATTTGGAACTTATGGCTTCTTCTTCTTCTTCTTCTTCCTCCTGTTCTTATATCAGCAATATAGTATTCTGTTTTTCCATCTTTTCTCATTCGCATTAGTGTCTTAGTGCCAAAAAAGGAAAAAACATTTGGTTCTGCAAGCTTGATAAACTTTGGTGACATTTTATTATTCTTTTAGTTACTGGTCATGACACTTATCTTACTGTCTACCAAACAAGCATTTTGTTGACTATCTGATGGCAATTCAAATCTGTTCCAGTGCCTTTTTTTTTGTATATATTCCACTCTTCAGATTTAAACTTTAGTGTGAATATGTTCTCGTGGTGTGCTTCAGGGGCCAATTGGTGCATGGGTTTCAGAAGGAAGGCCTTTGGATCCTTAAAGATCTCACGGAAGCCCAGATTTTTCAGCTGGTAAATCTGATAATTATGGAGAAGAAATGGCTGGAAGAGTCAACTTCTCAGATGTTCCCTTTTAGGCTCTCTCTTGCTTCTAAAAGAAAGTGTGGTTCATCACATGTGCTTGGTTCCAGTGGTTTAAGTTCTCTTTTCACAGGCAGAATATCAAAACCTAACACACACAGGCAAGTTGAGCAGGAAACATTGGATCAAAACCCTGGATGTTTTAGGAATGGATTCGACAACACTTTAGATGCTAAGCCACCCCAAAATTTTGTTGAGTTGAAAGCATGGTTTCAGAAAGCAGCATATAAGGGTCCTGAGGATGTTGAACCTGAGGATTTGCAAAAGCTTTTTGAGAGCAAGTTCAACACAAAACTCATTTCTTCTGTTTATGGCTATCCAAGTCTGCGAAGTTTGATTGCAGCTTGCTTAACTGATGTTGACTTTTCCCATGGAAAAAGAAAATCATCTCCAAGCAGAGAAGAAATACTATCTGATTGCCACAAACTCTTGCTTGAGCTTTTTGATGAATATCCTGAAGGTTTTAACATGAGCATCTTCAAACCAACATTTATGCAAAAGTATGGCTATATCCTGGATTTTCAAATGCTTGGCTACCCCAAGCTTGCATCTTTGTTACAGATAATGCCTGGGGTGAGGATAGAATCCTCTTTTATTATACCTTCTGAAAGATTCTGCTCAGATTCTAGCTGGAGTAAGCAGCCAATCGTCGGAACACTTGATCATAGTTCACCAGATGACAAAAGCAATTCCATTAACAAGGACAGTAAAGGTGATAGCACCGCTGAAGACTATGCATGGGAGGAACTAGGCCCTTTGTCCGAGACAGTTAATCATGGTGGTAATACTGTTGCTCAGGTGAATGATAAGAAGGTGAGTTATGATGAGGCTTCTCTTTCAGATGATGAATTTTCTGATTCTGAGGGTGATAGTCTCTCCCAATCTGGTGAACTGGAATCAAAGTCTAAAAGACGTGGAGAGGACAGCTCTCTTCTTCAAATCCTTGATTCATGGTACGGTAGTTTGGAAGGTAATGAGAAGGATCAAGCTCAGGCTGTTGATGGTCAGGTGGGTTGCTCCAAGATCAAAACCATGGAACTCAACCCTATCAATGAACAAAAAGTGAAAGCAAGACCCACAAAACGATATTGTTTTGTGTCGAAATCACCGAATGATGAGAAGGAAAAGTTGGTGGATAACATTTTGGGTAGTCTGAAGAGAGCTGGAGATTCGAAGCTACATAGTTAAAGAAACTTCATCACATTTTGGGTAGTCTGAAGAGAGCTGGAGATTCAAGGCTACATAGTTAAAGAAACTTCATCTAAATGTTGCTGTTTTAGTGATTATATCATTAGCTTTATGCTGCCGATCTATGTTGAACTGCCGATAAGATACACGGACTTTCACCAAAGCAAATTCGGTGGGTGGTCTGATTCTTGTGCCCAACCTGGCACAATAACCTTTGGTGGTGTTACATACAACAAAATGCACATCCGACGAGTTGATCATGCGGACATTGGGTGTTTTTAGCAGATACAAGTACTTTCAGTAAGTACACCAGTTCATCATTCAACCTAATTCTACACTAGAGAGATATTCTTTGAACAGGTGGGTGATTTCTGTCTTGAGAGAGTTTCTCATGAGGCTTTTTGATGTGTAATACTGCAAGCAGATTATTTATTTTGGCAGGTAAAATAATTTTATTGCTTAGCAGAACAGAGATAACCCACACCAAAGAAGTACCAACTAGCTATAAGTTCCCTCTTCCAGAATGCAAGCCAAACCAATCACAGGGGGTACAACTGATCCAAACATCAAAATAGTGGAAACAATACCCAAAAAAAGCCAGATGCCACCACATAAAGGACTCTCATCAACAGCTTCATTATCCTGACTTCAGCAGCATCAACGAACTTTGTAACTGGATTGCTGTGAGAACTTGTAATGAAACAAAGCATTCGAGGAACGTGATCCTCTAAGAACTTGAGGGTTAGGCTAAAGTCCCATCTGAAGCAAACTGCAGCAATTGAGCACGCTCAGCTCAGGTGTTTACTTGCAGACATTCATTTGTGGAGTAGATGAATTTCCTATTGCTCATAAACATTGTACTATTTCTAATGCCAAGTGAAACACATATAATAGGAGATCAAGTTTTATATGCCCAAAGGTAATAAATAATTAACTATTTTTTTTGAAACAGGGAGCAATTTCAGTTGACTATGTGAGATTGAATGATAACTGAGCTGATTCTTTAGCCAAGGAATAAAAAGACTAGGTTCGATGGGTAATAGCATATCGTCGTGTGACTTGGTAAGTGATATTTAATATATTGATTCTTATGATTTGTAGTGTTGCTTTGTAATGTTAACCAGTCTATTGTAAATTAGGTATATTTTTGTAATACACTCTTAAACAGTTAGGGATCAAGGGGGATAATTATATATTACTTTCTATAGTTAATTATGATTAGTATCCTGATCCTCATATTTTAAAAAGTAATATTGAAGTTTCTACGTTTGCGAAGGTAAAATATTTAACTTTAATTCTTCTTAATTTCGTCGATAGAAAAAATCGCAAGTGTTATCACGTACAAACAAAAAAGGCACGAATAAAAAGAATAAAAATATAATTTTATTATTTTTTTAAATTTGTACCTTGCTTGCCCATCAGACTTGCTCACTCATTGCTTGTCCATCACACCTTGCTCACCTGTCCATCGTGGCACTTCTTTGCCCGCTGCCCCTTTTCCAACTTGCTCATCGTCGTCCTGTCATCCTCGCCTTGGCCAATGACGGTCTTGTCATTATCAGAAAAACTTGTTATTTGTGCATCTCTACTTATTCTGTTATGGTGCTTATATTGTTCACCGAGGTTGACTAGTTCTTGGATCTCGTTGGATACAACACCAACGAGTATGAAGGATTAGAGTGTTACACAATGGCCTAGGCAACAATAGTTCTACTACAACCATGAGAATAGAGAGGCCAAGACACACTGACAAAGATCTTATTATTGAATTATCGGAATGATGAAACCTTGGTAAGTGTTTAATTTTTATTTATTTATGCATATTTGTTGAATCATAATATATCTTTAGCTTTCACATGTGGCTAAGAGAAGAGAAGCTTATTTACCAAAAAGACAAAGATGGGTTGTGCTAGAAGCCAAGATGTGATTGAGCAAAACTTCTGCCATGTTGTAGCTCTTAGACTTGGTGAATGTAACAATGGCTGCATGATGACCAATTTGATGTTTTCTCAGTCATGCATTGAACTATATGTAATGATCAGAAATGAACAGTCTTCACTCGGCCGAGTGATGGATGCTTATGATGTTATTTTCACGGATCTCTGCATCATTTTTTTTTTATTATGAAGCTTTCCTAATATATAAATAAATTTATGAATATTCTTCTTCAAAATTGTCAGGATTAATCGAATGGTTCTTGCTATTCTGGTGTACGAGTAGGAATAACAAATAGAGATTTTTTCGGCAGATTATTATGTTTCTCGATATGCAGTTTGCATGCTTGTAGTCGAATGGTCGACACTCGCACGGGGTTGGCGGGCAGCTGCGTGTTGGGTAACTCGAGGAATCCATCTCTTTCCCCACAGCGTAGAGGGGTTCTTCTTCGGACGCACCCTCCGGAGTGATCTCCCAGGGCCCTGCAAACACTGACAGGCAGCCGGTGGTGGAACGAGGATTGTGACAGGTTGAAATGGGGGCCATTTCTACTGCACTGTTGGCTAGTCATAGAATGTTTATTAAAGCTTGATTTCAATATGATAGTTCCTTGCGGCATGATGTATATGAAATTGACAATATATCACATTATGGGGCTATTTATTTTATAGTTGGCAGCTATAAGCACAGATAAAGAGCATAGTTCATTGTAGGCTGCCCTCCTCCTTGTTCTAGCTGCAAGGTTGAAGAAACAAAGTGTATTCTTTATGTAGCTGTCATGTCATGATTATAACATATATGTCGAGCGAGTGCAACCGGCAAGTAGGTTGGAAAGAGGAGAGAAAGAAGAAATCGATTAGGGTTAAAAGTTGATATAAATTCAATAATTTTAAAAATAATAAAATTATATTTTTATTCTTTTCATTTGTGTATTTTTTTTGCACGTGATAATATGTGTTTTTTTTTTTCCATCGATGATTAACGACGTAAGAAAAATTAGGATTAAATGTTTTATCTTTGTATGTATAGAGATCATAATATTATTTTTTAATCATAATTAACTATAGAAGATAATATGTAATTATCTTGGGATCCAAGCATATTCATATTTTTTCAAATATTCGAGTGGAAAATCTGTTTATTCAGGTTTTGGCACCATTAAATGGGTTTGAGATCAGTTCAAGCAGAAGAATATACATAACTAATTGAAGTAGAATTGGGTTCACATTTTAAGAAATTAACACCATTTACATGGTTTTGAGTTTTGTATGCTTTTAGCCTCTGATAAAGAGAACTGTTATGTTTGTTTAAGAATAAATATCTCACTAATCATCACAGGCCATGTAGTGAGGTGATTCAGCACGCATCTTCTTCCCCAGTGAAAGATAAGGAGGCATGCGAGAGAGAAGAACGGAGCCAAACACGTAATGCATGCATCCAGTGGCTAGTGCTGCCTGTCGTGTTAATTCGACTCGGTCTGCATCCCGGAATGGGGAGAACAAGATGAAAGAACAAAGAAACGGCGAAAGATTTGGGCTGCTTTACCCTCTCTATGGAAAAGGTTAGAGGCCATGGCCACCACAATAAACTGGTCAAAATAGCCAAGTTGCTAACCACCATCAGCCAGGGACAGTCAAGGCATGGTGGCTCTCAGTTCGTGGAATCCATGGCGGGATGCATGCATGCGTTAAGATCTAAAGCCCAACTCTAAGCCTCACATCATCAGAAGAACAAAACACAAGGTAGGGGAAAAGGAAAAAGAAAAAGGAAAAAGACTACACAAGAAGTTTGCCTGTGGCTACAGAAAAGCCGCAAAAGGGAGGCTGGTGTCCACCACGAGTCCGAGGGAGAGCATCATGACCACCATCAGCAGCGACATCTGCACTGCAGCGCACGACGACGCCATCCCCACCACCTGCGCGGCAATCGCATGCAATTGATCCAAAAGAGAACAAAAAAAAAAGAACCAACAAAATTGACTCCTCAATCATCTTTGCGCAAGACGTAAAAGCAAAGAGCAGCACAACTCATGCGGTGGGTCTCAAAGAGCAAAGCGCCGGCGAGGATAGCGCACGCACCTGAGTCTCCGAGCCCGGGGTTGGAAATGGGAGGATGGTAGCCGTATCGGTCTCTCCCACGGGAAGAGGAACCGCTGGACTGCTGCTAATGAACGGGACCGAACCCGCGGTCACCGAAGACGACGGAGTGGCCGCCGGAGTCAGCCTTTCCTTCGGCTGCAACGGGCCAAAGTCCACGGGCGCCGGGCTGGGGCTGGGGCTGGGGCCGGAGCGGGGTGAGCTAACAGAAGTCCACGAGTTCGAGGGAGAGGGAGAGGGAGAGGAAGAGATATCTCCTCCGGAAGTGGGTGCCGGAGAAGGGAGCGAAGGGAAGCCCGGCGACGGGTGTGGAGTCACTACTCTAACAGGCACCTTCTCAACCTGCTCGCAGCTCCTCTGAGAACTGTTTCTGGTGGCGAGGTAATAATAACCAGGGCGCGAAGGCCGCCACTGGCAGTGGAACAACAATGGGATAAGATGGACCGGCGAGTATATGAATCAGAAAGAGGTATATGAACATACCGTGAAAAGGGAGGACTTGCCATCGTAGATGAGGATAGATTGATCGAAGCTGCAGAGGTCGAAGGCCCTTCTGTTGCGGAAGAGGTACAAGTTCTGCACCTGCTGGTGCTTGAAGACTAAAGTTGACAAGCGAGAGAAGAGGGTGAGCCATTAATGGATTACTCTGCAAGTAACGATGGTGTAGATTGATCACTCACCGAGAGAGTCTCCGACATGAACTACGGGAGATTTCCACTCTGCAAGGCCATCTACCACAACTGTCACCATAGCTTGAGAGGTTCGGAGGAGGAAGAAGAGGAGCAGGAGGCAGGAAACGGAGGGAATTGGCCACATCGCAGGGGCTGTAAGATTGATTCCGAGACGGAGCAGCAGGAGATGCAGATTTGAAGCAGCTAGAAGAAGAAGCTTTCAAATTGGAGCAGCATTTAGTGTCATCAGACTTTACAGTCAGATAGCTACGAGGCTTCAGTGGGGGACAGGCAACGAGCGAGAGGAGGGCTCTTCGGTAGACGAGCTCTGTGAAGAATCTGCAAAGCAACGAGAAAAAAAGTTAGTAGGGTGAGAAACTGAGATGGCGAGAACAATTATAAAGTGATATACTTTTAGAGACAGTAATAAACTAGTACACACTAATTGTGCAATGATTACTTTAATCAAGCTCGGGCATTCAATTGCATAGCCCAAAACAGTTCGGACAGAGGAAGAAGACACAGCGCACAGGAGAGGCGTGATGGGTTCTTTGTTTGCATCCCTCTGGTATTTGGTCCCTGGAGTCAAGTCGGCATCACTTTCCAGATCTGATGCCGGGACTTCGAGATCACTTTTCTTGTGCCATGGTTCTTGAACCTGTAATTACAGCCGAAGCAAGTCACAAAGATAAGCCAGAACAACAACAACAACAACTACAATGAGGAATGATTAGTGCATCGCCGTTTGTCTGATTGAAAAAGAAATCATATCAATTACAAAAGTGGAAGATGACAATTGCAACAATGTTCTCATCATATGATCCAAAAAGGTTCCGACGACAGAAAGATCGACGAAAGCAATGAACAAATGAGGTATCGGGATACTAAGCCATTTCTGTATAATAGAGAAGTAAATTTAAGTTTTCTTTCCTTTTTCCACCCTTAATCAAAGAATGCAAACAGCAGTCTCAAGAAATTTGCATATGCACAAAAAATGGTAATTACCTCTGAAACAGTAATATCAAGCATAGACCTCTCATAAAGAAGACAGGTTCGACCTGTCAGAAACAGTCCTCTGCTTTAGAAGCAAGAGAGGCCCACTTTTTAGATGAATGATTCTTTCATGAGTCTCCACCTCTTTCTACCACTGCAAGAACACGAGGTGGTTTTTTCTTCTCGGTGACTGGGATTAGATTCTCCATAAGCTGCAAAGGTCATATATAGTTAAACCTAGAAAATTCATGATTTAGATTTATCTTGACAAGATACAAATGTTTGAATACCAATTACACAATAAATCTAATTACATGCGTTGTTCAGAAACAAACAAAGGAATAAAGTCCCTCGATGCTCCCAAGAATATGTAGGTAACCTCCAAATTTATTTCAGTCTTACCAGATGATCCACGATTACTTCCTACTTTGAAAAACCAAAATACGTATTAGATCTGACCTAATTAATTTAGAAGATCCCCGACTTTGTCACCCTCATTCCCCGTATAATCCCTAGTAAGCTCTCTCTCCTCTTCGTCTTCTCATCAAGGAAATCAACTGCAAAAAAAGAGAAGAGGGTGGTGATCGCCTTTAGGAATCCTGTAGGATTCTTCCTGTTTTCATGGTTTAAATAATTTAATTACTGATTGATTATGTTTCTTATAATTTATAGTCATTTCATTTTAGTTTTAACCTGGAAAGAAAAATATGTGATGCATGTGTTTTCATGTCTTAAACTTGATTATTGTTGATTGCATTTAATTGTTATGAAATTTCATATCATGAATTGATAATATTCATGCTTTCAGGCAACAGATAAATTATTTAGCATGCTAACTATGTTTGGATTTTGAATCTAGAGGTTTGAAAATTAATCTATGATATTAAATCCTTAATCTGAAAAAAAGAAAGATTGGATCTAGTTGAGATCCTGGTGCCGGACCAGTCAATGCACTATGCAAAGAGGTGCATGGTCTAAACTAGATTGTGGCTATCGGTGTTCCTAGAACAGATAGATTAAGAAATACTCAACATAAGATGAACAAAAATTGTTTCAAAGGGCACAAAATGTTTAAAGGAGACTTGCAGATGCTAGAGCTAGATAAGTTAATCATTTAAAATTAGTGATTAGTAGTAGGATACCTACAAAAACATTGCGAAAAAATATTTGCTTATTATTACTTTGTGCAGAAATATTGTCCTTAATAGGATGTCAAAGATCATTCATGCAGGATGACTGGAGAAATGGTATTCAAAGATTCATGCAGCCACCCCAAAGAATTAGGATGTCGAAGATTTCTCTTTTCTAAAATGATCAACCTATGCTGCTGCTTCTGCAAAGAGAGAAGGATTAGATCCTTATGTCACAGAGAAGTGAAATGCCAATTTAAAATGAACAATTGTGTTCTACTAAGCAGCAAAGATCACATCTTCATCCCCTAAGTAGAATTTTGTTTTTTTTCTAGACATCGAAAACCTAAAATTACTTTGACCGGACACTAGGAGATGGTGCATTTCTTCATTAAGTCAGGTTTCTCTCCTGAAAGATGTTAACTCAACATGCAAAAGGATAGATATCTGATGTTATTGCAGTAATACAATACCATTAATAATGAAGATGATCAAACTAAAGCAAAAGCCCTTTGAGATTTCTGATTCATCATCAAATCTAGACCTAGAAGGACATCACATTGTCAAAAAACAAAATACCTCTTCTCAGAAGATTGATAGCATTTTCCTCCTCCAGACGCAATATCAAAGATTCGAGCTCTACAGTGTATGCCTGCGAAGATGCCCGCAGAATTTATCTTGCTAAACAAACAATTCACGGCCATACCAGCAAATCAAGTCTAAGAAGATATTTTACCGACCTGTTTCTCTCCCTGGACCTGGCAGCTGACTCTGTTCTTGATTCATCATCCCCTTCTGCCTCTGCAACGCAGCCTTATCCACCCTCCACTCCATTCCCAAACCCTGGAATCGGATTCTCCACCGCTCCTGCTGCGAAAACCGGTCGGCGATTACAGGATCCAGGCGAAATCCCGCTTGCAACTTCGCTAAGGAAGGAACCACAACGTCCCCGCCCTGGCCAGGAAGTCCTCCAACGACATCTCCCCATCTGCCGTGGCCACTGATCCATCACCGTCAGCCGCGCTCCGCCCGGCGGCCCCGATCTCCTTCCACATCTCCATCCTGACGCCTGCGGCAAGCGGCAGGGGGGCTCAGCCTCACCGTGGAAGCACCGGAGGGGGTCGCCCTTGCTGGCCGAGCCAAGGTTCCTGCCGGATCGTCGCCGCTGGTGGAGCTATTGGCGGAGCTGGGAGGGGTCCGTCACGGTGGCGTTGGCGCGGGAGATCCGAGCTAGGAATCCAAAAATACTTAGCAATTGAAACAAAGAAATAAATTCCCAAATATTTGGAATTACCAATAAATTAATGAATCTTTCGACGGAATATTTGGCCAATATTACTCTTTTCTTTTCCTTAAAAAAAACCTACCAAAAGATAATTAAAAACATAAAATATTAATTAAAACTCGATATAAATCAACTCAACCAAACTTCATCACAGGATAAATCAATCTAATTAAAAACATAAAATACAAGTGCCAGTGTTCTCTCCACTTCTGGCGTTACTGTAAGTTCTTATCTATATCCCTGAACCAATTAGCAATCAATCTTCTCTGTATCGCTGTTACTTGATATTAGAAAGAAAGTAATTTAAGGGACAAATTAAGTTCTTTAGTGATTTTATTTTAATGCTGCTCTCACGTCAGTGGGTGCAGCAAATGGAGTATAGTCATTCGTTATTCTTTGGTTTTAAGGTGCAGCAAATGTAGTATAGTCATTCGTTATTCTTTGGTTTAAAAGCTATTATAAAAAATTTATGAAATTATTGATAAACTAGAGTAGGATACAAAAGGGAGGATTTCCTTTGTGCAGTTGGAAAAATCTTATATGTTATCATGTCCTCGTAAGGTGCTCCTGTCAAAAATGTCGGTTTTAGACCAATGCAATGAAAATAGTTTACAGGCGAGAGATTTCGTGAGTGAGTATACTAGTTGATCAACCGTATGTACGTGAGAAACAGGTAGTTGATGTCGGACAACTTGATTTCACATGAAGTAGAAGTCGATGACAATATGTTTCATGCGGGAATGGAACACTTGATTGGGGCATAGGTAAGTAGCTTCGATATTATTATAATATATTATAGAAATAAAAGTAAAGTCGATGTTAAGTTCCTTAAGTAGATTTGTGACCCAATTGAATTCCACAGTAGTGGTGGTGATGACACGATATTCAACTTCAGTTGTGGACCATGCGATTGTCTTTTGCTTCTTAGAACTCTAATTGATTGGGTTAACTCCAAAAAAGATAATATATCCCGATGTGAATATTCTATCATCAAAGTTTCTTATCTAATCAGTATCGACAAAGGTATGAAGAAGAGTATTTACGGAGAAAGATGTCATAATTGAGGGTCCCTTTAAGATATTAGAAGATTCGTTTAACTACAATAAGGAGCCAACTATTTGTTGGTATTGAGTGTGTTCCATAGCAGGATTTCTATCACATAGTTTGTGTGATTCACTAGTAGAGAGGGGAGTTATAATATCTTTTGCATCTTACATGTTTATCTTTGATAATAAATCTTGAATATATTTTCTTTGCGATAGAAAGAGACTCGAAGATGTATACGTTGCTTCCTCCGTCAAAATCTTCCACTATTGAAGGTTCCTCCCCCTTAGCTCTGTCGCCCTTTCGGCCGTCCCTTCTCCTAGAAGATTTTTTCCCCTGTTCCTCCTCTCCTCTCCTAAGTGGTGTTCGACGATCAACAACCTATGTTCGTGTGCAAGGTGACCCCTTACCCTCAATGCAACGTCTCTCTTTTCTCTCTTCCCTACGGACAATGCTCCTAAGGGAAGCACAGGTGCTGCAAGCGCTACATCATCTTCCTTCCCACGACAGAATTGAAAGGAACTTCTAGTCCGGCCTGGATCTGCCGCCTCCGGTGACGTTGATTAGATCAAGACTTTCCTCCTCGACGAACGATGACCGTCTTCTTTCGCTACTGCTTTGTGCTGTTCACTCACTGTAGTCCTCACATACTCTCTATAAGTAAAATAGGATCTCATCTACTATGATCGGTCTCCCTGTTGTGGCGCCTCTAGTGCTGCATTCACGAGTGCTACTCTGAAGAGGTTCGTCGGTCAAATCAGCAGCAACTATGAGCAGAGTTTGTTACCAAGTAGATGGGGAAATGGTGCTGTTACTGTAAGGATGGGTGGAGAAGATGGCTATGACAAGGTGCAGAGATGGCCGTGCTACTTCTTGGGGCATTGTTGCGGTGCAGACTAAGCCCAGCGAACGCCCTCAACCCGACAGAGTGAGGTAGCCGGACAATGCTCTGCAACTAGGCAAGTGGGCCAACTTTGCACTCGGTGTAGACTTCTAGATGCAGATCAGAGCGCCGGAGTTACAACGTTTGATAAGCGGTTCTACACAGGTGATCCTCGACAAGGCCGACGAGGTGGCCCAGTGATCACCTCCTAGAGCGCTCCACCGTCGATCTCGAGCAACGATCGATCGGAGAGGGAAAGCTACAGTGTGGTAGAGATCAGAGAGCTGCAACAGTTCTCTACCGAATGAGAGATGGCTGTGATTTTTACAGAGAAACACCACCAACCAAACCAGCGAAACAGGGGCTGCGTCCACTTGGTGAGGATGATCACTTGGGAGTGGTGGCGTTGTTGCTCGTTGGAGCTAGTGCGGTAGTGGTGGAGCTCAAGGACTTTGGAGGTGTCGCGAGAGGTTGGATAACGAGAAAGTAATGGTAAGTCTTTGCTCCAAGGCAAGGGTTTTGATACTATGACAAACTAGCGAGATTTCCTCGTCAACCCTATCTGCTGTCAAGTATCAATTAGAGGTCATAGAACTAATTTATGGCTGGAGAAAGCAATATACGAACAAGTGCAACAGAAATGATTTCCAAACGCCACATGAAGAGCGTGCCATATGTTCTCAGAGAAGGCCTGCGCGCGAGTGGAAGGGAAGGGAAGGCGTCGTCGAAGCCGCTCGCTCGAGGTTGCTTTTCTTCTTCTGATGCTGCTGCTGCTTCTTGTTCATCTCCTCCTCCGCCGTCTTCTTGCTCACCTTTTCTTTTGAGGATTGCACCGATGGTTTCCCAGGGAAGATCTTGGCGATGGCCGGCACGCACGAGCAGCCGAAGGCCATCTCTCTCTAGTGCTCTGATGAACCCTTCTCTTCCTCGAAACGGTTTTTGCTTCTCGAGCAACTTCTGCAACTTGTGCTGAGGAGTGCGTGTTCGCGAGTCCTTCTCTAGCTGAGAAACTTGCTCAGCAAGCAGTCGAGCTCCTCGTCGAGCACGTTTGTTGACTGTGATCGATTAATTTATGGCGAGTGTACTCCATGAAAAAGACAAGAACGGTGCCACGAGTTAGAGCTCGCTGGCGTTCCCTCTACAAGATGACGACTCAAGACTTGTATGCATGTTATCCTGATGCTCGAAAGTTCCCAAAGACAAGTTTACTTGCCGGCGAAGGAACTAACATAGAACAAGGGGTTTGGAAGTCACGAGTGCAAAACCTTATCTTCCCATCTCCACGGCTAAAGAAACAGTACCGAATGTCATTGTTGCTTTCTTTTTCTTTGACTTCAGTAGAGAATCATGTAGAGTGGTGGGTTTGAAGTCACTGATCTAAAGGCTGCAAATGATACAAAGGCGACACGCAATCCCGGTGGATTAACTTGCTTCACATGGCTCCGACAAAAGCTAAGGTTATGAGAGGATCACCATTCTTGTTCTTGTCAACTATATGGACCACCGACGGAGGGAATCAGGTGGGACTATCGATGGGTGTTCTAATTGGACACAAAATTTTATTGATGAATCAGGTGGGACTGTCAAGCAGCATATCGACGGAGGGAATCAGGTGGGACTGTCAAGCAGCATATTGATGAAAATAATAGAAGATAAGGATGATTATTGAAAAAAATTTATTGAAGAAAGTGATAAAAATTAAATACATTAACATGTCCCTCTCCTATTTATACAGATTAAGAGGAAGGTTCTCATATAGTTGGAAAAATCTTTTCTTCTATCATGCCCCCGTAAGATGGTGTTCTTGTCAAGAATATCAATCTTGGATCGATGTAAAGAATAGTCTACGAGCGGGAGTCGCTGCTACTGCGATTGTTGTTATTGTGAGGGCACAGGCGTTCCTTTCGTTCCCCTTAAATTCATCCTTCATTCTTCTTAAGTCCGTCGATTGTTGGCAAATCAACATTCGACAAGGGCAAAGCTTTACTTTTCTCAACGACGTTAGTGCCGAAGGTAAGAGCGAAGCTTTGCTTTCTCACTACTTTGCTATGATACCATGATGAAAATAATAAAAGATAAAAATAATTATTTATTAAAGAAGTGAAGAAGCTTAAATATATTAACATATCTCTCTTCTATTTATACAGATTTCCTCGTATAATTGGAGAAATCTTATCTTCTATCACATGTATTCAAAGAAATCTAATCGATACCCACGAAGACGGGAGAACAGGACAAACTTTTTGAATTGGAAAAATGAGATTGACTAACATAGCACACATGTAGTCAGCAAACGAGCTCTGCATCTTATAAAGACAGCACCCTATTTTTGTGTTCATAATACAAAAATTCTGTCTCCATAATACACAGATTTTGTGTTGTTTCTCTCTCTCTCTCTGTCTCTCTCTGTCTCTCTCTCTCTCTCTCTCTCTCTCTCTCTCTCTCTATATATATATATATATATATATATATATATATATATATATATATATATATATATATATAAAAAAAAA